AATGATGGACAGTATGAATTTGATTGGATGGCTGTATCTCCCTCCAAATAGTAGGAACTTGATAATGGTCATCTGAATCTGAAATTATCAGGTTAATAATGCCAAAGTTATTGAGTTGTATATAAAAAAATGCTTAAGTATTTCAGCCCAGCACATAGAATACATAAATACATAAATCTTTCCAGATTGGTTAAAAACTGGGTCGGGTCCAAATTTAATCCCGTGGGAAATACAAAGATACCTGTTGAAATCAATGAACAAAGACTGATTTCATTATGTTTAACCATAATCTGGGATCCAATTTAGTGAAGTTTTTTGTCCAGTGTAGTAAGTTATAGTCTAGTAAGATCTGAATGGAGAAAAGAGCTTTACTTTGGTAGTTGCTGGTCAACCTCTGAGGACAGAAGAATGACCTCAAATTTTAGCTTGTTTGCACTGAAGAAATAACAGCCTCTTAGTGGCTTCAACCGATTTTTCAAATTGTGGTTTATATTGTATCACAGCCCTTTTTAAAGATGTATAGATATAATGACAGTTTATTTAGTTCCAGTAATAAATTTTCAGGGAAAAAAAATCAGTGTCCATTGCAATTGATCTGATTGCATTCAAGTGCTTATGCATGCAGCTCTCTTGTTTTCATAGAGCTTCCAGTTCAAAATTTTGGGGAATTCGATTTATACATGCATTAGTAAGGCACATATATATTGACTTCAAATGAAATGGAAAAAAAACGTTCCTGTAAAGAGAGCAATTTGCCTGCAATGGTGTTTCTAAATCTAGAGAAAAGACTGCATTCAGAATCTTAGTATTAAGATTTTAGATTAATAATAAACATTAATGAACAAGCATAGATTAGCGTTTGACAATTAAGCCCTTTAGAGGATCTATTTTGTTTTTTGTTTGTACCATCTAATATAGTACTTTGGAGAATTATTTTGTACCAAATATTTTGTGTTGGTTGCATCCACCACTCAGAATGACAAGTTTTTGAGGTCAAGACTATTCCTGAATAATTTTGAAGAATTTGGGATTTAGTTATAATTGTATTAAGGAGAAAAAGTTCACATAAAATATGCAAAATTTATTATAAATGTAGCACAATTAGTCAAGTTAAAGAATGATCCATTTGCATATGTTTAGACCTGAAAAGGAATGTTAATTGGGAAACATATCAGTATTCTGAGTAGGAATGTGCAAAATTTGTTGATCTGGGAATGGACCATTCCAGAGAAGTCCAGAATGTTTTGTTCCAGAAAAAGCACTTAGGTAATTCCCATGAATAAGTTCTCCAAACTAAACTGCAGCTTAAATATCAGATCACCCTCCCAAAACACCTCAAACTGCTTTTGGTTTGAACAATTTATTTTGGAAAACTGCCTATCATATTCTGAAACAAAACATTGAAGTTTTCCAGAGTAATCTCTTCCTGCACATCTCTTGTTACGAATAATTTGGAAACATGCAGTCGTATGTTAAATCTTCTTTTGAGAAACATCTGAAATTTCCTTGAGGTTCTCTTAAAAAACTAGCAAAGTGTTCTGTCAGTTTTTAGCTGAGGATCTTTGAAAAGAACTCAAATGCTTCCTTAATCAAGCTCAATCTTACTGGTCTTCCAAATAATTGCTTTAATTTATAACAAAAAAGAATAAGACTTTTTCCAAGCAGTTGGTTTTTCACTCATTGCAATTCATGTATACCTAGCAAATAGTGCACCTGTGGATATAATCCAATGCTGGAAAGCCCATCTTAAGCCGAAGCATAATATATTGAAAGTTACATACTTTTGACTTTATTAAAGATAATTATATTTAAATATTATTAACAAACTTTCTATAATGCTGCAGTTTTTCCTTGACAGTTTGTAATTGTGGTAACAATGGCATTTTTTTGTTGTTACATTTCATGTTCTTTGTCTAATCTAAACTCACCTTCACTAAAAGGAGTTTTGGTTCTACCACTTAGAATAAAGACCAAATGATGCTGTTTGCTTTTGAAACTGAATATATGACAACTATATTATAACTTAACATGGATACTTCCTCCTTATTAGAGGCGAACTAAGATGTACAAAAAGGCTGTTAACAGTGTACCACTTTCACAAGGACATTTTACTGGTCAGTTTTTCAATAAAATCCTCAATTTTCAGTGCATTGTTGTTGACTGCAATCTTTTTAACTTTTAAGACAGTGGTTCTCAACCTTTCTAATGCCGCGACCCCATAATACAGTTCCCCATGTTGTGGTGACCCCCAACCACTTATACATCACTGGGTGCCAGGGGCGTGGCCAAAGAAAAGGGAAAAAATGGAGGACAGCCTTGTTTGGCGACCCCCGTGAAATGGTCGTTCGACCCCAAATGGAGTCCCAACCCACAGGTTGAGAACCACTGTTTTAAGATTAGACCACATAAAGATGAGTGAGTATACTGCTTACTTAAATGTCACGCTTGTAGTGTAAGATGATGGCATTTATAAGCCATATCTTGCTTCAACTGTATAATGGATGCTATAATCTATTCTCCTCTGTTTAACATTTGTTTTCAATTATAGTAAACGCAAATATTGTCATGGAGCATACTCTAGTACAGGAGTAAGCATGGCTGGCTCAGGAATTCTGGGAGTTGAAGTCCACGAGTCATAAAAGAGCCAAGGTTGCCTACCCCTGCTCTAGTACTACATTATTTATATCCCACCTTTATTTTTATAAACAACGCAAGATGGTGAACATATCTAATACTCCCTCCTCCTATTGTCCCCACAATAACAACCTGTGAGGCGAGTTGGGCTGAGAGAATGACAGGCCCAAGATCACCCAACTGATTAGAACTCATGGTCTCCTGGTTACTAGCCTGATGCCTTAACCACCAGACCAAATTGGCTCAATATAGTGAGCGCTTATAAGGAACAAGGTCATAAATGTGAGGTGAGTGGTTATATAAATGGAATAAAAATATAGGAAGTTCCACAAATCAGAATCATTGCATCAATCCATCATCTACAATAGATAACGTCAACTATCACTATCAAGTAGCAATAGGGAAAGGATCCAAGAGTGACTTTTTATAATAATAAAGAATAATATAAATTTTTATGCTGCCTGACTCCCAGCAACTTTTTGTGAAATGTTGGATGCAAAGTCCAGCAAATCTCCCTTCAGATCAGTAGTTATTGTGATTAAGTCACCATTAGCTGTCCCCAACTTGAGTGCAATTAGTTAGCAAAAAAGAAATTCTTATCTATATTATAGGGTCTCCTGCTTGAGTAGGGGGTTGGACTAGAAGACCTCCAGGGCCCCTTCCAATTGTTATTCTGCTATACCAAATAAGAACCACATCACTGCATTACTTTGACATCATACATCTATAGCTAAAGCCTAGAATTTCTTTTTTGTAACTGCATTAGATTTGTTAATATTCAATTTGTTGATTCTTCGACATCCAGATCCTATTTAGAAGTCCACGAGTCATAAAAGAGCCAAGGTTGCCTACCCCTGCTCTAGTACCACATTATTTATATCCCACCTTTATTTTTATAAACAACGCAAGATGGTGAACATATCTAATACTCCGTCCTCCTATTGTCCCCACAATAACAACCTGTGAGGCGAGTTGGCCAATAACCCTAAGAATATGCCATCTGCACATGCTCATCCGCCGCTCACCTCCAGCTGTGTAGGCCAGTTCCTAAGAGACCATGGGCCGGTATCAGTCCATGACCTGGGAATCTCTGCTCTCGAGTATGATTTTCAGTTTTAAAAATATGTTAAATTAAAGCCAGCTTATTTATAAAGCTCATTTTTTGATTTTCACAAAGCTGCTGTTCCATTTCTATTGTTCTGAATCTGGCCAACAAACCTGAAATTATCTAGTAACCAAATTAATTCATTTCTCCTGGGATTATACACTTTAAATTTCATCATCTGTGCCACTGTACATGGTAAAAGCTTTTTGGGAATCAGAAGTTGAATTCCATCTGTTCAGCCCTCATTTATTATACTTCTTTGGTACAACAATTTGAAATTTAGTCAAAAGAAACTGCAAAGATTGAACGTTCTACAAATGCAATTTTATAGATACAATTAATGGTATTATACATTTCATTTTCCTCTCCTGTAAAGATATATCTTATTTGTTTTTCAGAGAAGAAAAGGCCGGGTAACATTTAAGGTATATTTTGAGATATTTAGAAAATACTTATTACTAAAATTATAAATTTTATTTTCACTTTGAAACACCAATAGAAAATATTATTTCATTTTATTATTTCACTTACTCTTTTTTAAAAAAATCAGTAGATAACATAATGGGGTTTTTCTTTTTGGTTACTGGAATTGGAGGATTTTAATAGATTAGTATTCTGAACCCAAAGTATACTGATATAATTTTAATCTTACAAACTTTGAAAAACAAATACCAAGCAGTATGTTTGTCCAATGATACTAAATATTAAAAATACATGGACTATTTTCTTTTTTAGAAGGGCAGCCCCTCTTTTTTGGGAGGAGTGGTTGCTATCAGATTTTCAACATATGGGGAAAAAAACTTCCCTGGACACAAATTATCAACATGCTAGGTATTTTTTTTTTTGGAACCAGACACTTAAACAATGATACTAAATGAAAATATAAATGGAAAAAAGTTAGGTAGCTTTATACAAATCATTAACACCAATACACACACACTTTAGTACAAATCAAGTGTATATAATTATGATTTTTTTATTATCAAAGTCTTGTAAAACAATTTCAGAAACTGTACATAAACATGGCACAGACTGTAGCCTACTTTTGTTTTTTTTACCTGCACAAAAGTATATGCCCCCAAAACTTCCAGAACTAAAATAGATTGCCTATATACTTTGCATAACATAAAATTACTGTCAAAGGTTACTACTTCAGCGACTGCAACACAAATGAGTTAGTTTATACAACTTGAGATCAAATACATTATCAAGTAGACTTGTTTTAAAATCATTATGAAGTTCCATTTAAAATGCACTACCCTTTTTTTCGTTGCAGAGTTTTAATACTCAAAATGAAATGCAGCTTCTAAAAAACTACACAAGGTTATCTTTCTCCGTCTCTTCTGCAGAATACAGAAATGTTATTTTTTACCTCAAGAAGTCCAAATTGTGAAAAATCAAACACCCACCTGAGAAGGATTGAGACTCAGCCTACCTTACGCTGGGCATTAAAAAGACTAATGCATTTCAACCATGTCAAAGCCAAACAAATCCACAACAAAAAGATTCAGCCATAGGGCTAGAAATATTATCTACCTCTATCCGATTTCTTTCCAGATGAAGCTAATGTTAGTTTCTCTCTCGATACTGAAGGCCCTCAGCGGGCCACCATGTTGTAGGAGATAAGGATGTTCCTGCCAGTTAACATGCAGCCAGTTCATTCCCTATTTTTGCTCTATTATTGTAAATAATCAAACTCTAGAAACACTATTGTAGGTGAGCTGGTTTACTAAAAAGATCATACAACACAAACAGTCCATGCCTGTCAAAGATGCATGCAGCTTTTTGCTCAAAAAGGAAAAAAGCAGCACCAAGCTAGTTAAGGACTGCTGGGCTACTCAATTCAATTTAGCCAATAACAAGAATGGAAACCCAGATACCACTTCCTCTAAAACTTTTGATGTAATTATTTAATATTAGGAGCTTTACAACCATTTATAGTTACAGCTGTATACATCTAGTTTGGAAGATTAAACAAGTACAGCATAAAGAAATCACACAGGAATGACACTGATGCATGTGGCCAATTGTTTTCCTGGCAAAGGCATATTCAGTCACTCATATCCATATCCTCTTCATGATGATCATCTCCATTGACCTTGGACTCCCTTGGTTCACCGCTCCCTTTCTCCGGGGACTCCTTAAACTTTGGAGAAGTGGCATCAGATGCCTTTTCGTCTTTTTTCTCTTTTTCACTATCGTAGCCTTGTTCTTCTTCATCATAATCCCTTGTGACCTGCTTTGCCAAGACAAAACATAAAACAAACCACGTAAGACAGGCTTCAAATGAAGCTGGGAATCTCTGGAATTCAAATTCACCAGGAGAAATATATTTAAGCATACTTTGACATCTTTGTCACTTTCTGATTTCCTCTCTCGCTCTTTGTCTTTGTCTTTGCTTTTTTTCTTTTTACTGGTTGATCTTTCACGTTCATCCCTGCTTCTCTCTTTATCTTTGTCTTTTTTCTTCTCTTTCTTATGCCTGGAAGGAAAACCACAAACACCTTAGGATGAGAACCCAAGCACTTCGTGGGATTATCAAAATGTTTTCACTAAAAGGTTCTATGGGGCAAGTTGAACACCAGTCTCTGCAAATGGAAGCTGTTTAACAATCTGAGAAAATGCAGAGAAGGTAATCGCTGTTACCATTTATAAATAATTAAATTATATCTTTATTGATGTTCTGTTAATTTACTGAATAACTTCAAAAATTACTTCACATTCCCCAAAGTGAAGTAAGATTCTAATGCCAGTAATTATTACTAGAATGAATGGTTACTCAATCAGTTAATTTAACCACATTGACAAATACTGTCCAAACAAGATCTAAGGCAGTGGTTCTCAATCTTTTTAATGCCGCGACCCCCCACCGGTCGTAAGTCGAGGACTACTCAACTGGTGCATCACCGTTTGCAGAATGGGACTTTTGGCGGGCACAGCAGGGTAGAGACAGCCTGGACAATTCCTATTGGCTTTTGAAAGCCAATAGAATTAGACTCTATTCAAGAGAGTCTAATTCTATTGGCTTTCAAAAGCCAATAGAATAAAAGGGAGTAGCACAGCTAAGGAAAAGGGGGAAAAAATGGCAGACTGCCTTGTTTGGCGACCCCCATGAAATGGTTGTTCGACCCCAAATGGGGTCCCGACCCACAGGTTGAGAACCACTGATCTAAGGCATTTCCTACAAGAATAGGAGGAACTGAGAAAGAAAAAAATGATTAAGTCAGTAGATTTGTTAAAAGACAAACCTTTTTGGTGAAGGGGATCTAGACACCTTTCTCTTAGGCGACCTAGGCTTTTTAGGTGATCTGGAGCCACTTCTGCTTCTTCTGCGGCGCCTTTCTCTGTAACAAGAGTGTCTCCCAATCAAACTTTTCCTTGCATTTATTAACATCCCCAATGTCTATTTAATCTCCAAAGTACATTTAAACAAGGAAAAAAATATATATTTTAATGGCTTGAGCATTTCTTTGTAGCGGACAAAAGCGTGAACACAACACAGAAGGCTAAATGAAGTCCCTCTTTCTGAAGTTTAGGATTGTTAGTTCCTAGTGACCTCAACCAACATAGTGAAAAATCAGGGAGAATAACTAAAAGCCAAGAGAAAAGACAGAAATTGGTCTCGCTGGTAGCCAAAACCTTGCAAAACGAGGTTTCTAATGCGGAATGCAGCCACACTGTCCCCAATTCTCAATCAGTAATTCAATCAGCTGGATAAACTAGCCCAGGGGTAGGCAACCTTGGCTCTTTTATGTCTCGTGGACTTCAACTCCCAGAATTCCTGAGCCAGCACAGCTGGCTCAGGAATTCTGGGAGTTGAAGTCCACGAGTCATAAAAGAGCCAAGGTTGCCTACCCCTGAACTAGCCTGAGATGTGCAAGTACAGAATGAGATCGCTACGTCTAGCAACCCGTTTTGTTTAGCCTGTAAAAATTAAAGGGCAGGAGCTTGCATAAGAGGAGTTAACGTTCACATTCTTCATGACCCACATTGGTAAATGCAAGATGTCTATAACACATGGATTTACTTCCAACCAATAAGTGACTTCGGCACATTGGCTCACTAGCCCTCAAAGATAGAAATGTCGATGGGTTAACCCCGAGAATTCTATCTCAGTGTTTGGATCTAAAGCAGTACAATTCATCAAAATGCTTTTAGTGTAGTTATGAAAGGACCCTTGTTCAAATAGTTAAAAGTTTCCTAGAAGTCAGAATTTGGACAGCATTCAAGAGAAACACAGGATTACACCCAATACCAAACCTGCTTGTGCTTCTGGATCGCCTGGCCGTGCTGTAGCTTTTGGGTGGCGTTTTAGATCGTTTCTTCTCCTTTTCTTCTTTCTTTTTGTCTCTAAAAAAAAAAAGCACACCTGGATAAGCTGTTTTGTCTTCCAAAAAAAGAGGAAGAAATGATTAGCTTGTTTTGTTTTATATATCCTCCCAATATCTATCCATCCATCCATCTATCCTGGTTACAGGGTAGAATTAATACCAATGCTATTTGATCTAGCAGAAGCTTCTGACAGCAGCATCAAGAGAGAAGGAAGGTTTGCCTGATTCTTCCTACCACTGATCTCCTTCTCATGTTTGGAGTAATGTTTAAAACTGAAAAAAACAAAAACAAAAAACAAAACTTGGGTGAAAGTTGTCACCTTCCCATTCTATAGATCCGTGGTGGCGAACCTATGGCACGGGTGCCACAGATGGCACGCCCTCTCTGTGGGCACGCGCGCCATTGCCCCAGTCCTAGGCCTTTAGCTGGGTTTTATAAAACCTTTTCGCTTTAGGCCTCTGCCATCGTGTGCCCCCCCCCCAAAAAAGGTTCAATCAGTCAGTCAGTTTCAACTTCTCGCGGGAAAAAATAAATCTTGCGAAGTTGGAATTGATTGATTGAACTTTTTAGTTCCACCCAGTCTGTTACCATCGAAGCCACGCCCACTCAATGGGCCACACCCACCCAATGGGCCACGCCCTCCCAGCACCCGATGATACATAAGTGGGTTTTGGGTTGCAGTTTGGGCACTCGGGTCTCTAAAAGGTTCGCCATCACTGCCATAGATGGAGCTTTTTGCTGGATCAAAGAGTTTTTCATCAGACAAGAATGGAAACTGACTACAAACCATGTTCCCAATATTTTTATAGCTAACAGAATAACTTCAATCCAGAATTATATGAAGCACCTGGTTTTCAAGCACCTGGTTTTGGAAGTGCTCCTAGACCTTTTAATACGTTCTCTGGAGTGAGATCGCCGCCGTCGAGGACTTTTAGATCGTCTTCTGCTCCTTGACTTTGAATGTGACCGTCTTCTTGATCGACTTCGTGACCGTCTATTAAGCAAACCATTAATCGAACAAAAATAATTTATCAGATCACATTGTAAGAGATACTATATGAACTATCAAATGCTCAGTGATGCTCAGTGACTAAGCAAACATGGACTAGCATGTGCACGACTATTATTTACAGTAGGGGAATTTACTATTTGTTAGGCAGAATTAAACGTGTTCCAAGTATAAATGAACTCTTCACACTTTCTTGCAATCTGACAAATTGAGGGTAGCTTTGCATGGTGAAAAGTTAAAATTTCACTACAGTTATTAGGCACTGGTTATGTCCATTTGTCTGACTGTATGGCTTGAGATAATCTGAGTGCTAGCAGAAATACAACATATAGAAATGGAAATATTTGTCATGTTTGACAATATAAGGAACTTAAAATACATTTTGAAAGACGTGAAACACAAGAAGCCCCTTATTTTGAAACAAGACAAATTATCAACCACTCACTGGGATTCCTCATTTCCCATGCAATACTATCTAGTCATTACACTCATTCCAATGACTTCATATTCAGTTCATGTGTACTAAAAGACTAATCAGCGTTTTGGAAATTATTTGTGACTATTACTCAACTAATCAGCTGTATTCGCATACAGTTATCTAAAAATAAGTCCTAAATCAATTTATTTAATACAATTTATTTCCGAATTATTATTATTTTTTAAATTATAGTGTTTACTGCCTGCCATTACCATACTATATGGTAACCAAGGTCTTATCTGCCAAACTCGGTAAACAGGTGAGTCATTCTGGGAACCCTGACCTGTGTCTAGAAGAAGAAGGTGTTCTCCTCCTCCTTGAGCGCGATCTGGATCTGGAATGCCTTCTTTTATCATCCTTTTTATCTGAAATCAGAACATAAGAAATGTCAATTACAGAACAATTAGCGGAAATTAGGCGAACATTTTTAAAGTTATTTTTTAAATACATAAACTGTAACCAAAGGAGTTTGTATGTCTCAAAAGCAGTTTTCTGCTATTTCTATCAATTGCGTTAAGGGTCAAATGCATATTTCAAGTTAACTACAAACATAACAATTCATATTCTTATAGATAAATAGATGCGGGATGTATTATATAAAATGAAATATTGATTAGGATAACATCTGAACAAGCCTGAGAACAAATATAAAAGGGGTTCTTTGGTTCAGATCAAAAATAATTCCAGCATCTCATTTCCAATGGCACCCATCAATATGCTCCTGGAAAGCCCACAATTGCTGCATTTTTCAGCAACTGATATCAAAAGACTTACTGGTTATGATTCTTAAGCAGATGTCCTTCCCAATGTTTACTTATACAGTCAGGTCCAGAAATATTGGGACATCGACATAATTCAAACATCTTTGGCTCTCTACACCACCACAATGGAGTTGGAATGAAACAAACACAATGTGTTTTAACTGCAGACTGTCAGCTTTAATTTGAGGGTATGTACATCCAACTCAGGTGAACGGGGTAGGACTTAAAGCAGTTTGCATATGTGCCTCCCACTTGTTAAGGGACCAAAGGTAATGGGACAGAATAGTAATCATAAATCAAACTTTCCCTTTTTAATACTTGGTTGCAAATCCTTTGCAGTCAATCACAGCTTGAAGTCTGGAACGCATAGACATCACCAGACGCTGAGTTTCATCCCTGGTGATGCTCTGCCAGGCCTCTACTGCAATTGTCTTCAGTTCCTGCTTGTTCTTGGGGCATTTTCCCTTCAGTTTTGTCTTCAGCAAGTGAAATGCATGCTCAATGGGATTCAGGTCAAGTGATTGACTTGGCCATTGCATAACATTCCACTTCTGTCCCTTCACAAAGTCTTTGGTTGCTTTTGCAGTATGCTTTGGGTCATTGTCCATCTGCACTGTGAAGCGCCGTCCAATGAGTTCTGCAGCATTTGGCTGAATTGAGCAGATAATATTGCCCGAAACACTTCAGAATTCATCCTGCTGCTTTTGTCAGCAGTCACATCATCAATAAATACAAGAGAATCAGTTCCATTGGCAGCCATACATGCCCACGCCATGACACTACCACCACGCTTCACTGATGAGGTGGTATGCTTAGGATCATGAGCAGTTCCTTTCCTTCTCCATACTCTTCTCTTCCCATCACTCTGATACAAGTTGATCTTGGTCTCAACTGTCCATAGGATCTTGTTCCAGAACTTTGAAGGCTTTGTTAGATGTTGTTTGGCAAACTTTAATCTGGCCTTCCTGTTTTTGAGGCTCACCAATGGTTTACATCTTGTGGTGAAACCTGTTTTCACTCTGGTGAAGTCTTCTCTTGATTGTTGACTTTGACACACATACACCTACCTCCTGGAGAGTGTTCTTGATCTGGCCAACTGTTGTGAAGGGTGTTTTCTTCACCAGGGAAAGAATTCTTCGGTCATCCACCACAGTTGTTTTCCATGGTCTCCCGGGTCTTTTGGTGTTGCTGAGCTCACCGGTGCGTTCCTTCTTTTTGAGAATGTTCCAAACAGTTACCATGTCTAATGTTCTTGCTATCTCTCTGATGGGTTTGTTTTGTTTCTTCAGCCTAATGATGGCTTGCTTCACTGATAGTGACAGCTCTTTGGATCTCATCTTGAGAGTTGACAGCAACAGATTCCAAATGCAAATAGCACACATGAAATGAACTCTGGGCCTTTTATCTGCACATTGTAATTGGGGTAATGAGGGAATATCACACACCTCCCCACGGAACAGCTGAGAAGCAAATTGTCCCATTACCTTTGGTCCCTTAACAAGTGGGAGGCACATATGCAAACTGCTGTAAGTCCTACCCCGTTCACCTGAGTTGGATGTACATACCCTCAAATTAAAGCTGACAGTCTGCAGTTAAAGCACATTGTGTTTGTTTCATTCCAACTCCATTGTGGTGGTGTAGAGAGCCAAAGATGTTCAAATTGTGTCGATGTCCCAATATTTCTGGACCTGACTGTATCTGACTTTCTACTGATATTTCATACAATGCATTGTTTTTTCCTGAACCTGAACCACGGGGTATTACAGCAATTTTCTGGAAGGCAAAATTGCCTAGGAGACATTTTATATTGCTTTACCTGGCTCTATAGCAGCAGAAATCAGGGATTGTGCTTCTCGTACACGTTTCATGGCTTCTTCTATTTCTTTACTGGAGGTATCTGTTTTCAGACTTGGTGAAACAAGGCCTGCAGCTACATGATTCAGCCTGAATCAAATAAAAGAAAAAAAAAAAACGCAGAGAAATTAAATTGTAAGACCATTTAAACCAGAATATACATAACTTGTTATCTATTAGAAAAATAATCACAACAGTCTACTTTAGTAAGGCATTCAGTGAAAAAGATTGTTGATCGCTGACAATAGCATTTCGAGGTATGGTGTTAGGAATTTTTATTAAGTATTTTATTGTTTTATTTATTTATGTCTAGAATCAGTTGAATCCACTGGCACATACATCTTCATGAATAAACGAAAGCATGTGTTAGCTGTTAATTTCAGGACTAGGTGAACTTATTTAAAACTTAATTTGAAAAATGAGCACTTGAATTTGCTTGCCGTTTTCTTTTTTTGCTTAGTGTATCCTTTTTATTAGATAATCTCACTGCCTAGAACAGGGGTAGGCTCAGGAATTCTGGGAATTGAAGTCCACGAGTCATAAAAGAGCCAAGGTTGCCTACCCCTGGCCTAGAATGTTCTTGTTCTTTAATATGCAATATTTAGATATTTAATTTTTCGAAATTAATAGGGATCCTCCAGCTTCTGCTCTTTAAAGAGTACACGTGGTCCTTGACTTACAACCGTTCATTTAGCGTTCGTTCAAAGTTACAATGGCACTGAAAAAAGTGACCTATGTCCGTTTTTCATAGTTATGACCGTTGCAGCATCTGCAGGATGATGTGATCAAAATCCAGATGTTTGGCAACTGGTTCATATTTATGACCGTTGCTGTGTCCTAAGGTCATATGATCACCTTTTGTGACCTGACAAGCAAAGCCAATGGGGAAGCCAGATTCACTTAACTGGGCTACTAATTTATCAACTGCAGTGATTCACTTAACAACTGCGGCAAGAAAGGTTGTGCTCAATTGTGATTGTTAAGTTGAGGACTAGAACTAGAAATCTGAACTAGAAATCACTGGACATCACATTTCAAGAGTAGGAGGATTGGGAAGAATATTCTAGTCCAGGCAATTTCCTCAACTGCACATATAAAAAAAAGGAAAAGCAAAGATCAATGGGTTTGTTCTCTTTTGCAATAAACTCCCTAACTGGAACATCCAGGATTAATCTGGGATTAGTTCATAACAGATGCATAAATTGTTTTCTGTTAATCTGTAAAAATAATTTGTTATCTCTTGTTGCTTTAGGATTTAACATGGGTACGCACCCTGCAAAATGCCTGTTATTGCCAGGAAAATTAATTGCATTCTTCTGCAGATTATTTTTTTAGTTGTTTTTTGTATCGTTGTTTGGTATGTGATGGTTTTGTTGTATTTTTCTGTTTTTAACAGTTTATGCTGTTTACAGTCACATATATTAGATCAAAGGCTATATAAATTTACTAAATAAATACATTTGAAGTCCTGTGGCTAGTGTTTCTACATTTCCATAAATTTCAACAAGCTGAATCTTCTCATGCATATACAATTATAAGGAGAAAGGCCAACTCTTGTAATACTACAAAAGTCTTGGTAATTTTAACCCACATTTTGAATTTTTATTGAACTTTTATTTACATGTGAAATTTCACAGCTGAGAGCTAATCAAATGCCAGGACACATATAAACAATTGGCAGTACAAGCTTACAATTGCAGCACTTAATTCAACTACAGTTTGAAAATATTCTTAATTAATGGACCTTATAAAATTGACATCTTCCAAAATTCCCACTTCTCAACTGTTTATTTGCCATCCCTACCATCAGTAAATTAGAATTGCAATACCAAGGAGAGGAAAACATCTTACTACTTATGAAATGTTGTCCCATAATTCAAAGGGCAAATAAAATTATAGCGTGCATCCAGGGATAAATCCTGCCTAGAAGAGCCGAGGGTGCTGTCTCAGCATTTGCCCATTTCCTCTTCTTAGGAAATTAAGGAAGCCAATTAAGCATGTTAAAATAGTCTTCACAGCGCCATCTCGTTTTTAACTATAGCAAAAGTGGAAGAGCAGCACAAAAGAACTGCTTTCCCAAGTCCAGGTACCTCAGGCAGTCCTCGACTTACACCTATTCATTTGAAGTTACAACGGCACTGAAAACCGTGACTTGTGACTGTTTCTTATACTTACGATCATTACAGCATTCCCATGGTCATGTGATTAAAACTTGGACGCTTGGCAACTGGCATGTATTTATGACAGTTGCAGTGTCCCAGGGTTATATGATCAGATGCACTGACCTCCTGACAAGCGAAGTCAACGAGGAAGGCAGAGTCACTTAACCTTTGTGTTACTAACTGAACAACTGGAGCGATTCACTTAACACCTGTGGCGTCAAAGGTCACGAAATGGAACAAAATTCATGTGACAAGTGCCTTGCTTAGTGACTGAAATTTTGTTGTCATGAGTCAAGGACTACCTGTATCATGCAAGCCTGGGAAAAAGCCCTGCTTCTTATTCACCCAAAAGGCATTACTTTCAACGATTCCCTACTAATGGTTTCTTTTTAATCGTTTCCTCCTCTTTCTCAAAACCAATTGCGCTATAGTGCAATTCTAAAAGTCCATACTTACTTTGGATCCACTGTGCTCATAAGTTTTAATAGTTGATCTGCTGCAAGAGACTACAAGGAAAAATAATAAAAAAAATGTTTTTATATAAATATTTTTGGGGGGGGGAAATTACACCCAAACGGCTTTAAATCTAGCCAAAATTAAATAATACAAGTTACCATAAGTCTCAGAGCATATGTATTAGCTTGGTGTACATTTAAATTCTTTGAGAATACTACCGTATACATAGACCCAAGCTATTTTTTTTTTATTTCTGATAACTAGTTAGTTATTCATGTCGATATTTGCAAGGTTTTATATTTAATTTTAAACAAGAGTCCTCAATTATTTGAGGTTTCTGCAATTGGAGGAGGAGTTGTCCATTTACAAAATGGCTGCAACGAGAAATATATCCAGAATCTAAGAGTCAATAGACAAATACAATTAAGACTGCATTTGAGTCAGAACTGTTATATACCTTTTTCAGTTGTAACAATGGTATTAGCCAAGTGTGAACTCTAATGTTGTTGTTAAAGAACTTCTAAAGAGTTTGAGTTCTCATTATACAATATATTGATGGCATGAAATATTACCATTGTCCAACAATTCACCGAAATCTGCTCCAGATGAATTCCTAACCCTTTGAATCAGATTTGAGAGATATGGGAGAATGCTGAAGGAGTTTATTTCCCTATATTGTTCATTATTATTATCTTAAACTGATAAAGCAAAATAATACAAAGAAAAGCCCAATTTGTGGCTAATTGTAGTGCAGTGTTTTTCAAAAACGCGTAAATATTTCACTATGAGAGAAAGTTCTCTCTACACTGAACTTTAGCTGATTGGCTTTCCTCCAATACTATTCTAATCTGATACTGGTTCAGCATATACATTGCTCTAACTGAGTTAAATACACAATTGTACATCACAATCTTCCAATACTCAGATGAATTCACTTGTTTCTTGCCAATGTGGAAAACCAGAGTCAACAAAAATAATCCTATGGAATTTCACAGTAAAAATTCCATGAGCCTGGAATTGCATAAATGTTAAAACTGACGATTTTCCAGAGACAGGCTTATACTTAAAAGCAATATACCTGAGAGTTTAAGTTTGCCCCAGGAAGACCTAGAGCAGCTAGAGTTGGATCTAGAGTTGGAGCTCCTAAAGCAGCCAGAGGAACAGCACCGATCTGTAAGAATGAAAATGTGTACAATCTATGCATTTTTCGTAAGGAAAGAACAAATACAGCACATTCTAATTGTTCTACCATTTTCCAAATCTCTGGAAAACAGGGACAACTTGTAACTTTTTAAAGTTCTGAAGTACTGACACTGATTATTATATTAACTTTAATGTAGATAGCTGTTTTATATCAAATCAGATTCTTCATCTACTTGGGATCAGCGCCTGTGAATCCAATGCAGAGACTTCCTATCTTCCTTTAGCTATCAAGTGCATCCCAACTGGAAGTTCTGGTGACTAAACATGGGATGCTTGGCCAAATGATGTCCCCTTAGGTTGAACAGTTGCCATAATGGCTACAGTAGCAATTGGTCATAGTTATCCAATTTTCATGCAAGAATATTTATCATCATTTGCTAGCTGATTTTTTAAAACAAATATTGAAGATAAAGTGAACGTGGACTTGTTCACGCAAGTAGGAAATATGAATTACCCATTTTTAATTTTCTCTCAATTTTTACAATATGCGCCCAAATTAAACCTACAAAAGTCCAATGAATGAAATAGTAGTTAGATTTTCAAAACTTTTTCATTTATACTAAACTAGCTGCATCTCAGAAGAAGCATTTCTCTTCTCTCTTCTAAACTGGCAGTCTCCACTCTCTGAATGGCAGGAAACAAAAAAAGGAAATTAGAAGCAAGAAGGTATTTCACAGGATCTGCATGCTTCTTCTAGCCTCTGACTGTGAATTTGTAAATTTGGCTTATCTTTAATTTTGCAATTATGTAGACCATTTAAGAGAAATTCACATCCTTGCTACAAGTAGTGTTTCCCACTTGTAGCCCACTGTTCTCTTAAACTATATTTCTGGATATTGGAAAGGAAGAATAATACTCTCATTGTCTTTTCTATACGATTCTTTATTCATCGTTTTAGAATCTCGATCCAAGGTCCTCACTTGTGGTTCTAATGCGAACATGAAAGCGCTCACTCTTAGGCTACAATAGAGGTAAACTTTCTAGAACAGTGGTTCTCAACCTTTTTAATGCCACGACCCCCAACCGGTCGTAAGTCGAGGACTACTCAACTGGTGCATCACCGTTTGCAGAATGGGACTTTTGGCGGGCTCAGCAGGGCAGAGACAGCCTGGACAATTCCTATTGGCTTTTGAAAGCCAATAGAATTAGACTCTATTCAAGAGAGTCTATTCTATTGGCTTTCAAAAGCCAACAGAATAAAAGGGAGTAGCACAGCTAAGGAAAAGGGGAAAAAAAATGGCGGACTGCGTTGTTTGGCGACCCCCGTGAAATGGTCGTTCGACCCCAAATGGGGTCCCGACCCACAGGTTGAGAACCACTGTTCTAGAAAGTTAGCCACACCAAACTCAAGAAGATAGACATTACTCTAAAAAGATTGCACTCTGGAAGTCCCAAGAAAGCCGCTTTCTGAAAACTACAAACATCTCCCTCCTTTGTGATTTTACAGGGGGGAGCAGTGAGTAACCAAGACATGGTTTTTAAATGATTTGACTGCTATAAAGCATTTTCATTAAAAAAAAATTTTTTTTAAAGAGAGGGTCATAGAAACCAGATAAGACATATAAGCACTGCAAGTATTATGCTGTATGAAAACATAGCAATTCTTTTTGCTTCTTGCACCGGGCTCATCCCTAGCTATAGAAATGGTTGAACGTCATTTCTGGTCATAACCTTCCATATGTTTTCATTTCAGATGTTGCTTTATGGATTGAAGAAGAAAAGGAAACTCTTTTTAAAAAGTAGCAGTGAATTAGATGTCAACTCAGTGATCTAAAAGGAAGAATGGGATCCAGTCTAGGAAATCAGTTACTATGGAGGGAATTCTTATTCGTTATAACGCAGCAGTTAGAGTGCAGTACTGCAGGCCACTTTAGCTGACTGTGTTCAGCAGGTCAGCGGTTCAAATCTCACCGGCTCAAGGTTGACTCAGCTTTCCATCCTTCCGGGGTAGGTAAAATGAGGACCCAGATTGTTGGGGGCAATGTAAATATATATATACATTGCTTACTGGTGTACACCGCTTAGAGAGTGCTTGCACTTAAAGCGGTATATAAGTCTCATAAATAAATAAATAAATAATTCTGCTACCAATACTATAATAACTTTGAATAAGCATGCCTCCCATAAACACAGGAACATAAATAATATAATTTTGCTGTATTTTATGCACCCTGTACTTCTTACCTGAGAAAGCGGGTTAGGTGTAGGCAGGAGTCCACCCCCCGGCAGAAGGCCTGCCACAGCATTAGCTGGTGCCAGGAGAGATAAAGCCTTAGTCTCATCAGGAATAACTCCTGCAGAGAGACAACTTTGCATTAGAAGTTACCCCCAATTTATCTTTTTTTTTTCTTTTAAAAACAAAAAACAAAAAAAACACACACAAATACACCCAGAAAATGTCTCCCTGAAACACCATCTGAGTTTGCTGAAAGTACTTATGTTGGCTATAATACAATGTTTGCTCTCTTAATAATTTATCATTAACTTGTTTGTCAGAATGTGTGAAAATTTGTTCCTTTTTCTCTACAAAAGGTTAAGTTCTAGAATAAAAAATAGCACAATACACACTACTTTTTTGTTAACACTGCCAAGATTTCATCACCTGTACTCGATTTTTAAGTCATGAACCAAACGTAAGCAAGCACAGTCGGTTCTCCAGGGGTGTGCTCTCAACTTTCAAAAGCTGTTTTATGAACAACGACTCGTGTCGGCTGCTTCACTATAAAGCACACAGAAAAATCAAGATACACAAGACAAAAAAAGTTTGATTTAGGGGTTAATAATATGGCACAGTTCACTATGATTTCTTTTACACCTACCATACAATTTTGTAAAACTTAAGAGAAGGTAAGAAAAAGTGTAGGGCTTTTGCTGACTTCTCATTTGGATATGAAGGTCTCCACAAAGGTCCAAATGTAGGTTCTGCATATGTGTCCGCGTGTATGTGTTTATGTAAACACCTAAAATGTGACACATTCTTACCTGTGCAGTAAAATACATGCTCCACTCTGTGTTATGGTTACTGTACCAAGAATGCTGCTGAGTATTGCCCTTTCAGAATAAACTTCTGATTTGCAGCTTGTAGTCTGCTAAGTGTCTATTTTTATTGCCTACCCCTGAACAAAGAATAACCTTCAAAAGGCCCAACGTGAGACAAACAGTAAATGTTGATTGTTGTTATTTTAACCAACAGCAAAAGCCCTATACATATGGATTAATCTGTTAATGTGCCCAAGCCCCCAACGTGAGAGAGTTCAATAAGACAACTGTACTATATATTTGCAAATACCAGAACCGTTTCTGCAAGACATTAAAAAAAACTGCATCTCATCATAAAACATACAATATGTACAGGGCACTTAAGAGAAACTGGATAAGCTGCAGAAGAAAACTGTTGGGTGGTATTTTCAGCAGGGCCTGGTATATAGTTCAGGCTGAACCAGGGAAAAGAACTGTAAAACACAACAACAAAAAAGAAAAACCACTGTTAAATAAAGGTAATGGTTCCTTCCACCTATACTGAGAAGTGCCGATAATATAAACAAATGTATAATACACAGCACTGTTATCTTTCTTCTGTCACTGAGCTGTCATAATTTCAATACCAAAAGTTATGGTGGGAAAAGGGGGGGGGGAAAGGTCATTTAGATACAGGGCATTAATGCATCAATATAAACATATCTACTGAGATTATGGGATAAATTTGCATGCAAATTATGTCTCAAGAGGATATTATTTATGTTTACACACAATTAGTGCAACTATAACATTTCTGGCATCTAGCTAAAAATTCTCTTGAGACACCTCACAGAAGATCTGCATCCATTAAGTAGTAGTCATGCATTTGATCCTCTCGTTTTTAGGAAAAAAGTTATTCAGAAATAAAACTACAATTTAAAAAAACAATGAGGCCCCTCACCAGTTAATTTTCATGCGTCAAGAGTTTTTTACTGCTGCTTTGTTAGAACCATGACATACTGCATGAATGTGTAGAAATGAAGAAAAAGAAACAGACAAAAGAAACAAACATTAACCAAAGAACCTACATAAACCCACCCAAAGTCACTGTTTTAATATCTACATTGCTTCCAAACCTTCCATTTCATCACAAAGATTATAGTACTATGCCTTACCGTGAACTTTGTGTTAAGTCTAGAACACAAAGCAACAATCAACACCAAGATGTATGTAACACACCAAAAACAGAAATGCGACTTGATACTAGGGAATATGATCAGTACAATGCATACTTTAATATTTGTAGAGAGGTAATATCAGAATGTATCGCCACAGTAGCAAAGGGTAAAGATTTCAATTCAGCAGAGTGCTTAAGCATGTGCCTCAATGCAACTGAACAGTTTCACTGATCTTGAAATGTTTTTTTTTCTCAGCAATGCTGAAGCACTAGCAAAAATGGGGCCTTGTGAAAAGAAGAATTGAAGAGTGATACCCATATTCTTTCACAGATAAGGAAGATTTGCGAGAACAGAGCAGACCAAGTTCATAGGAAAATCCATGGGTCCATTATTCTGATAGACCACTGTACCCAGAATTGACATACCTTGCCAACTACAAAATGGTGCAGATCCTAAAAGCCCAATGAGTTCTTGATAGGTAACAACTGCTCAAATTGCATTAAACAAGCCTCAGAAAAAATTCAGAAAAGTCATCTTTTTTTGACCGATATCGCAGTGAGAGATTTATCAGTCATCTATCTTTCTAGCAGAGTTTAAAGTCATGTTTATAAAGAGAAAAAAAATATTACGTATAAAAACCATTCAAGCTCTTAAGAGAGATACTGTTCTTAAACACTAACTTGCATATATTTTGGCGACTATTGGTTCAGTTAATTAGAGCCAAGGTGAACACGACAGCGTGTGTTCCTTCCCCAATCACATAAAAAGGTCTATATCCATGTTTAGTAATAAAAGGAATACAAAGAGGCACGGGCCCTGAAACCTACCCCAGCCTGCTGCTTATTTCACCATAGTAGCTTTCTGCGGGTGCTGGCACAGTTGCAGCACTGGAACTCAGATAAAGAAAAAAACAAAGGAAGACAGACTGCAAGGAGGTTAAATTGCAGGCAAAGGAAGGCGGCTATACACTTCACCCACGTGCCCCCTTTTGCTCTAAAAAGAAGCATCCCACCCTTCCTCTTTCTACGAAATCCATATTTAAAAACACAGCTGTCGCATCTAGCTTGGCCCTAATACAGACAGCAAATATGGAAGACTCAGACACAGATGTATCTGACCTTTCAGAATTATATGTAAGAAGCAATACTTTAAAGTATTCTATTCAGCCAAGTTAAACCAATGAGGGTTAAACTTTGTGGATCTTAATTATAGTTTCAGTTTGGAATATCCTAACATTAATTAATCAGACCTGCCTGTGGCATATTCTTCTGCCTTGTTAATGAGTAAAACGAGATACTACATATAAAACATAAGATTACATTCCAGCACAATTAGTCTGTGTAAATCCGTTGATTTTAATGAGATGTAGTAATCTCTGTATGCAGAAGTGCAGCTTAACCGTTTACTGTAATCTCGTGGTATAAAATGAGTGCTAGTTTATCAGTTAACAGTGCCTTTGAAAGAGCTGTGCTGCAATCTATAGTGGTTCAACAGAACTCATTAGAAGAGCAGTCTTCTTGGCAGAGTTTTAGTTATATTTCCAACCTGCTCATTGTTTTTCAAATTACTGTAACACCCTAAAAATGTAAGAAAAAGAAGAGAAAAAATGTTGTTAACAAGTGAGTGATTTACACCAGGAAAACACTTGGGGACTTGAGTGCTTGCTGGCCTTTAGTTAATGTCTAGAATCCCCTGTAGCTGCAGAGGACCCCACTGTTTCAGTCATCTGGAAGGGCTTTTGCATTTGCCTTCTCCACTATAAAAATCACACACACAAATAAGAGAGAAGAGTTTATTATTTTAGAGAAATTCTAGAATATATAGCAAGGTTGAATAAGAAAATGTGGAATAAGATCTAATACCCAGTGCCCATTTAGCACCTTTACAGATATTTTCTGACTAACAAGAGATATCAAACCCTTGGTGTACCAGAATTTATGTTGAGGGTAACTGCTTTTCAATTGTTAACTAAAACAGGCAGAACATTGCCTTGTAACTGATGATATGTATTCCCTAACTCTCCACGAGGGAGAATGAACCATGAGATCAGAGATGCCAGGCAACTTAAAGCAACATTGCTTGTTTATATATTTCATTTAAAAAAGACAGCTTAAAAAAATTATTGAGGCAGTCTGGTGAAAATAAATCAAATAATGCTGCATGAATATAAAATTATTGTAAAAGCCTTTGCAAAAACGGATGGGCAAGCTCCAGAAAGTGCTGAATTAGTATTTTCTGTCTGTTGTATAGAAATCAAAGATGAGGGTATACCAAGGGTTTTAAAAATGCAAAAAGCTTGGATGTTTTATATGCTAAACTTTATGCTATTCAACTACATCAGGATTTAATATCAGAGGTCTATGGCTTCATAGATCTTTAAACAATTCACAAACCTTCTGCGTAGGGTACGACTATCAATGCTCGGTCAACGAATACAGTATTTGTCAGGTGCTGAGCCACAACTGCCGAGTCAGGTTCTTGGAACTTTACAAAACACACACGGGAAGAAACAGGCAAAGGGGAGTCACTGGGGAAAAAAAAAATCAGAATATGAACATCAGATGTAACATGAACAAAGGTTAAGACATTATTTGACTTGTGTAACTATATAAAAAAGTATTGGGCATGGACCCTAGTTTTTCCAAAAATGCTTACTGTTTTTAATGTTACAGAACAGGGAAAATTATTAAATGCATGGCTGGAGAAGACTCATATTTATACTTAATTTCAATTAAACTTAAATAAGTATAAATAATATTAATATTCATCTACCCTTTCAAAATTACAAAGAGGGCAACCCTAGAGTTGTTCACTCAGGCATACACTTGGTTCTTATTATGTGTATTTAAGATTTAATCTAATACTGAAAACTGGGAAGATGTAACCGACATTCTTGATAGGATGTCACAGGCAATAGATAATAACTTGAATTTTTCCTTGAGAGAAAAATCTTCCCTCAGGGCAATATATCATTTCTTTCTTAAAGCAATACATGCAAAGTGCATTGTACATACTTCATATTAATGATGGTAAGTACTTTATTTTTCCAGTGACAAAAAACATATCTACTACCGGTAGTTCAGGGCTAAACTGTAGGGTGGCTGGGGAATGTCTACAGGAAAACCATCAAGTTCAGACAACACCAAGAACCCACCAAAGGTTTAGCTTTGCACCAAATAAAAGATTAAGTGAGGTAGCATGATTATGGTGTCGGATCAGAGTTGAGAAGAACCAGATGCTAATTCATCATTAGCCACAGAACCTCATCAGGCACTTTGGGTCACATACATTCTCAGTCCAATCTATCATTTGGAGTTTTTTTTTCCCTGAGAAAAATAGGACAGAATATAATATGAACTTTCTTAAACTGCTGAATTAAAGAAGAGCTATAAATCAAATAAACAAAATGATCCAGATTTGTAGCTATATCCATAAAGTAAATGCCCAGACAGAATTATGTCACTTATGGTGGGAAATCAACAACCAATCCTCTTCCACGGAAAAATGTTTTTACTTTCCAACTTATTTCAGGGTAATTAGTATAATTTAACATTATATTAGGGCCAAGTTAGGCTTGTACTAATACCGTATATGCTGCCGTATTAGGCGACCCGGCGTATAAGACGATCCCCGTCTTTATAGCCGGGCCGCATTCCTAGAACGTCGTCTTATACGCCGGAAACTACCAGTATTTCCGGCGTATAAGACCCCCGTCTTTGGTGCCGATTTCAGCGCTCGCGGAAGTCGTCTTATACGCCGGCATTTACGGTACTATGCAGACATTTTCTGAGATGTAACCCTGTAATAGTTGGGTGGCTTCCATATTTCAATAATATCCCATAATTACATTTTGCAGGGCTTCTTTTCCTTTTTCATACAGAAAATCTGAATTTTTAGAAAGGTCCCTTCTCTCCTGTTGTGTTTTGGGCATATTGTGACAATCTGTGGAAGCATCTTTTTCCTAACCTGGACCCCCCCCCCCCAAAAAGTATGCTTCACCATAAATCCCAATGTATGCTATATTTTACTGGCTAGGGATCATGGGAATTGCAGTCCCATTGATCTAGAGGCTACCAGATTGTTAACAGCCATTCTAGAATATGCTTTCAGATTATATGGGACAAAGGCCAAGCCTGCTGCGTTTTCTTATTGCCAGAAGTAAATGGAGTCAGATTCTTGGAACTTTACTGAAGGCCAGCATCTTCCTCTCTCAATGAAAGAGGGAAGGCAAGAAAGATGGTGGGGGCCATGGCAGATGTCATGCAGGGTCATGCTTAGCTGAGGCAAGAAGAGACAAGTAACAAGAAAGTTGGGGAGTGGTTGGGCCAGTAGGTTATATGTTGCCTTGGCATCTACTTGAGATGTAGCAATTTGGCCTCCTCACACTATTTGGATTTTGTTCTGTCTGAAACCTGAAGAAACAAAACATTTGGTTATTTCACTGATCTGTGGACAACCTCAACAGTTCAGCATTACTTCTACTACACAGTAACCTACCACAGTGGTGGTCTCTGATGAGCTTGGTTGTTTTCTTGCAGATGTTGCATTAACCAAACTAGGTAACATCATCAGTGCTAGGATTTCAACCCTGAGCTACAAATATTCTCCTTTATTGGTACTATAGGAATCTGTTCTGGATTTATAATAAAACTATGTTCCTGTTTCACCCCCACCGGCTCTCTTTCAGACACCACAGCACAAGTTCCCAAATATACTCCCAACGAAGGAGGAGGATATATGCCGGGGAACATTTTTTTTCACACTGGTTACTTCTTGTGGCTCTTATCAATTCAAAATCCAAATCATGGGTTATACTGCCTAGTGTGGAATCAACAAGACCACATCCCAAGGGTCTGGCTTATCCTTACGCCCCAAACACTCATCGAAACATAACATTAGACACTTAAAACTTTTTACCTGAAAATTACAAAAACTACAAATGCTAATATGGCTGCCAAAAAAAACAAAATCGAAAAGAAAAATCAACTTTGTGTTATATTTAACTGGCAACAGGAAACAACCTGTATTAAACCATAGCTTAACTCTTTCGCCTCTTACAACAGAAGTTTTTTTTCCCCCACGCAATACAGTACTTTTCCTAAAACCAATCCACCCCACAACGTGGCTCTGCCACAGAAGCTGGCCAAGCGCGTCCAGAACAGCATCTGAAAATGCCTAATCCCTTAACACACAAATACATGTTGCGTTCAAAATCGTCTATCAGCGCCCCCCGCCGGTCTTTTTTTCCGCCGCCTGCCTCTCCCCCGATTTCGAAAGCAGGCGAGGGCGTGGAGCCAAAGAAAGGCAGCCCCAGCGCCGGAAACTCAAGATGGAGTGGGGGATGGCGCGGAAGGGGACCGCGTGATCCGCTTTAGCCTTTGGAAAACGGCAACCACCGCGGCCAGCTTGTCTATTTCTGCGCTGTCCTCCGGCCCTCATCTTCGCCTGGCCCCACCCAGGCCGATCGGGGCCTAATAATACTCGAGCAATGGCTTCACGGCTTCAATGAGGCCGCGGCCTTTAAAAACCGACCATCGTCTCTCGAGGAGAAGCGGAACTTACTCGGGAGGGAAGAGGCGCAATTCTTCGATCTTCCCCAGGAAGCCGAAGAGAGTCCGCATCTGTTCCGAGCTGGCGCTCGGGGAGACATTTGTGACCTGAATCACATCGGTGCCGCTGCTTGAAGCCATCACGCTGCCTCCTGGTCCGGCACTTACAAACGCATCGAGAGCAGAGGGGTTAAGGGCCCTGGGGGATCGGGAGACGCCTCCTTCGTATGTCCCTCGGCGCTTCCCGTCACTCTAATCGCAAGGGAGAAAAAGGCCCTCGCGCGCAGAGTAACGGCCACCGAACGATCGTTTCGATACCAGACTCCCTGGGCCGCAATATCCCAAGCTCCTCAGCGGCTCTCTCCGAACGATGCAAGAACCTCCCAGACTGCGCCTGCTCACAACCAGGCCGCCTGGTGAAACGAGACACGCATAAGTTGCGTGTGCGCATGCCCACTTGAGATTACTTGCTGCGCATGTGCGCAATCTGCAGGCGGCACTAAAAGCCTTTTTCCATTTCCGGTTGGGGGTAGCCGTTGGGGTTGGGGTTGGTGCTTAGCTTTATTCGGCAGAGGGATTTCTAATTCTGAACGCTATTTAGCGTGCCAGCTTTCCAAAGACCATTTGATTCGAAGTGATGGATAGATTCCATGCATAAATCTGTCAAATTAGTCTCTTTCCATTGTAATAAAACAGTGCTGGCAGGGGCTGTATTTCTTGAGTGGTTTAGCTGATGTATACATGGGGTCCTTGATGCTAGTGCATCATTAGTACTGATGAAGTTAACTCAATTTGGATAATGAAACGTTTGCAAGAAAACCAAGCTCAAAGCATCAGGGATCCCTTATGTCAACCCTGAGCTACAAATATTCTTCTTTATTGATGTATAGGCATGCTGGATCACCAGCACAGGAGAAGGCCAAAGCTTGGAGTGGAGCTAATCTTCCCTTTTCAAACAGAAAGTCTTTTGGCCATTAGCCATATTAAATGTGCAGTTTCTAAGTACTGCAGAAATTATTCATATTTCTAAATAGCCCATCTCTGAAAGGGGCTGCAGTATGGTTTATTCATTAGGTCACTTTAAAAAAATGCTGTTTCCTGCTGTTTATGTGATTTTATGTAAAATACTTGGCAAAGTCTTTTCCATTAGTCTTTTCAAATTATTGTGAAATGTTCACATGAACTTGACAAGTAAATTTTGTGTATGTATACCTTTTTTGCAGAACTTAACAAGGCACTCTTTTTAACAGCTCGTTTAAGTACTACACTATAGCATTAAAGCAGGATTGAATATGGTATGTATCCAGTCCTTACAATTTAGAACAGACATGTCAAATTAGTGACATCATGTGACGTCGCACGTATGGGAGCTTTTTCTTCATTGCCAATGGGGTGGGTGCAGTTTTCCGGTGATGCGTCCGGCCCGTGGGCCAACAGTTTGACACTCCTGATTTAGAATAACAGAGTTGGAAGGGACCTTGTAGGTCATCTAGTCGAACTCCCTGTCCAAGCAGGAGTCCCTACATCATTTCTGACAGGTGGCAGTCCGGTCTCTTCTTGAATCTTGATCAAGCACCAGCAACATCTGAAGGCAGTCTGTTCCATTGGTTGATTGTTCTCACTTTCAAAATGATCAAGAATAGAACAATAGAGCTGGAAGGGACCTTGGAAGTCTTCTAGTCCAGCCCTTTGCTCAAGCAGGAGGATCTATACCTATACCTATACTATGCATGTTCTGGAGGTTACCAGATTGCAGAAGGCTGGGCTGATATGTTCCACAAGATCAGCTGATGAAAGTGACATGAATTCTGATTTTTCTTTCTGAATTTAGAAAAAAACCCTGACATTTTGCAAATGGATTGATAGTAGAAGACAGTACCTCACTTTTTTGCTAGATCTAATTATTGGTGGCAGAGCCAGTTTTGAGTCATGGTTAAGATATCAGGATAGAAACCAGGAAACTGGGTTCTAGTCCTGCTTTAGCCATTAAACCAGCTGGATGACCTTGTGCTAAGCACTCTCAACTCTAGGAAACAGGCAAGGGCAAACCACTACTGAAATCTTGTTAACAAAAGCTTCAATCCAGCAGTCATCAGGAGTCACCACTAACTTGAGAAACATACCAAAAAAGTTTTTAAAAAATCACCAATATGCTGATAACTTCAACCCTGACTATTCTTTGGAAGGACAGACAATGAAACTGAAGCTCAAATACTTTGGCCACCTAATGAGAAGAGATGATTTGTTGGAAAAGACCCTGATGTTGGGAAAAATTGTAGGCAAAAGAAGGGGACAGCAGAGGATGAGGTAGTTAAATAGAGTTATTAATGCAGTGAGCATGAATTTGGGCAAATACAGGGAGACAGTGGAGAATGGGGAGCCTGGTATGGTGTGCTATGATCCATGAGATTGCAAAGAGTCAGACACAACTTAGTGACTGAACAATAAAATGCTGATAGCTAGATCTGTATAAAATTGCACATTAAAAGTATTTTAATATTAAATATTTTATTCACTAGAAATGCTTTCTTGATTTCCAGAGAAGTGATGCTTATGTTGCTATAAAAGCAAAAGGCTTGTGATATCTTAAGACTAGCACACTAATGTTTTAATTTTGTGAATTATGGGCCTTTCATTATAAGTTTGGACAGAAATAGATAGATAGATAGATAGATAGATAGATAGATAGATAGATAGATAGATAGATAGATAGATAGATATAGATTCTGTTCACTCACCCCCCTCTCTCTCTGTGTGTGTATGGAGATGAATGGACAGAAAATATGAAATAGTAAAAGGACACACCAGTATTAATGACAATAAAGCTGTACTTAGATGTGATACAGACTAGCTAGGTTTGCTCAACCCATTAGTAAGGACATCCCTGAAATGAGCTTGAGGTTTGGTGAATACTAGAGAACTGTACCTTTTTGGATCATTATTTCAGAGATACTTCTTTACCTAACCTAAACAGAAACAGAATGACCAAGAGTGGATAATAAAGCAGTGGGAACAGGAGTGATTTCCAACTTCCTGCAGGCTTCCCGCATTGAATTTCCTTAGAACCGAGCAGATAACATTGGAAATTTCCCCTTTCCAGCAGGCATGTGTCTACTGCTGAGTGAGGATGGGAATGAGGGATTGCAAGACTGTCTGGGTAACTGTCATGGAACCGCAGCAACGGCAGAACTCAGGAGTGCAGCTGCACTGAAGCAGCCACAACTTCTCCAAATGTCATTCTCCCAGGAGTCATGGGTCCCAGATTATGAGCACATTGTATAATTTAGCCCATTTCAGGTACTTTGGTTCAAAAATTGTTGCTCTTCTGATGTACCATTTCACCCAATGATGGGTCATGACAATCAGAATTTTAGTAGTATTTAGATCTGGATGCATCCACAAAGATTTTTTTTGGCAACAATATTGTAATTTGCCATTGCCTCATGGATTAGCTTTTTTAAAAAAATTCCCAATCTACTATAGTCCTGAGAAGTCATACTATTTTTCCACCAATGCACAACATAGTCTGATCCTGCTTAGTCTCTCCCCATATCAACTACTGTTAAAGTGCTGCCATTCCTTTGTAACATACAACTGTAGAATTTGTAGTTTGGTTTATTGTTGTAAACCCAGTCATCTTGTTTGCAGACCAAATATAAAATGTTTATTTGGATGCAGCATGCTGTGTAATATGGTGTACTTTAACCTGGGATTCTGCTTTAGTAATTATGTGAATTCAACCACATTCTTGCAATGATGAGCTGATTAACATACATAGTGTGGTAAGAAATCTTAATCATAACTATTTGGACAGGACTGGAAGCAGGGCCTTGATCCTGGTTCAGCCTTAACCTACCTCACAGCAAAAGCACAATCGTGAATCTCAAGGAGACGCCCATTCGGGAAAGAGGAAAAGTGGACGCGTAGTTTCATTTCGCAGAGGCGGCGTTTCCTTGAGAGTCACTAACTGAGATCCTTCCCCATTCACTTCCCAACTTTTAAAGCAAAAATCGCGGTCTCGATTCACAAGACTGCCTCTCAGCTCTTCTCACGCCTCCTCCCAAAGGCGGAGGCAGTGGGAATAGCCCGGCCCGTCTTCTTTGCGCGGAAAAGCCGGCTAGCCGCGTTTCCCGCCCCCTCCCTGGAATTCAGGCGGGAGAATTGCTGAAGCGCCCGTGATGTCTGGCGCTCGGAGACGGGGCGCGGGCCACTCCTTGGCGGGTTTCAGGCGGGGCGCTGGGCAGGATGAGGCCGACGCGGCTGCCATCCCCCAGGGCTTGCTTCGGGCGGCTAGGAGGAGCGGCCAATTAAACCTGTCCGGCCGGGAGTTGACCGAAGGTGAGCAGGGCCAGGTCTCCCCTACCCTAAAGAGCGAAGGTAGATTTAGCTTACGCCTCCCTAGAGAGGGACGGCCTGCGCTTCGTTCCCAAGCCGGAAAGGCGGGGATTCAGCACCTCAACCTGGGGGAGGGGGAACGAAAAGGGCTTTTTCTACTCGTTTCTTCGGCTCGTTTTGCACGAGGTGGGTAGATGGATTGCATTACTATGCATCATTCACACCCTCTTTTGCGTGACTGGCGTTTTTTTCCACACGGAGAAGGAAACCGTTTGCATATATTGCATTTATGTTATTTTTTTGACTTGCTATGGCCCTATAGGTGTTGTGTGTTTCTAGTAGTTGTTCCGGGAACCAAAAACAAAAGCCGGTGTTAGTTGACGTGAATTAAAGCTCCTCCTGCAACTCTTGAGCCAGCTGCTGGGGCAATGTAAAGGCTGACGGCCTTAGTGATTTCTTGGGTTTATCTTCCTGGCTTTACAAAGCAGTTTTAGAGGCCATGTCCCTGTGATTCGGCCTCTCATCCCCATCCACCACAGAAGCAGCTTACATTCGTTTTTCCTCCTCTCTCAACTTGTCCTATGTCTCATTTATACTGATGCAGAAGTGGCTGAGATTGGCCCAGCTCCAAATTTTGGCTACCGTCAGCATTCCCCATCTCTTTTAGCCAAAGGGCACTGTCCTCTCTAGTATGGGCCGAAGGAGAATGCAGCTAGTCCTCAGCTTGACAACCACAATTTTCCGCCCAAAATTTCCATTGCTAAGTAAGATAGTTGTTAAGTGAGTTTTGCCCCATTTCACGACCTTTCTTGCCACAGTTGTAACATGACTCACTGCAATTCTTAATTTAGTAACACGGTTGTTAAGTGAATCTGGCTTCCCCGTTGACTTTGCTTGTCAGAAGGTCGCAAAAGGTGATCACATGACCCCAGGACACTGCCATTGTCATAAATACATGCCAGTTGCCAAGCATCTGAATTTTGATCATGTGACCATGGGGATGCTTCATTGGTCGTAAGTGTGAAAACCGGTTATAAGTCACTTTTTTCACTTGCCACTGTAACTTTCAATGGTCACTAAACAAATGGTTGTAACATGAAGATTACCTGTATGGACACTTAGATTCTACAGTCTGCATAATTCTAATCACACTCCATAGGATATTTCTAGATATTGCCAGCCACAGTCACTTGTTGCTGACACTGCTTTTGTCTTGCATTACATTGATAGGGATATTTGGGAACTGGGATGAAATTCACAAGAGTTGTGACAGTTATTTTTTTATTTCAGTAAGCATGACCAATAAATGGTAAGTTGATCAATAAATCTGTATGCAAAAATAGGTTGCCTGATAGGTTGATGAAAGACAGATTAGAGGTGCCATATTAGTGCCATCACACATTTCCTCTGCCCCATTGATTTGTGGACTGGACTATATTTTGGCTTGTTCCAGTTCTTCTGGAAGACTTGTAGATCCCTGTTTAGAAACAGCCTGAAAATTGTCATTGAAGAGTAAACTGCCACTTAGACAAGTTGACAAGTTGAAAGGTAGCTAAAGCCTGCAATGAAATACTACATGTTTTAAAATTTAAGAAAATGTGTAATTCTTTTCAGAAATACACCTGTATCCAAAATCCACTAATTTATTCCAAAATCAGTATTCGCTTTAGAAGAATAATATCAATAGTGGAAGATGAATGTTACTAAATGTTACTAAATGATTTTTTTCATATGGATATGTCCTATTTTTATACGCAGTACCTCTACATGTTTGGCGAATAAATTTGGATACTCCAGAAGAGGCCCACCAAAATGTATCTTTCAGTGCTGCCGATCGCTGGTGGGAGCAAACTGATCTCAACAAACTGATTTTATCTTCTAACAAACTGCAGTGTCTTTCTGATGATGTCAAACTCTTACCTGCCCTCACTGTGCTTGATGTGAGTAAAATAACGGATGAATGACTGTTACCTTTATGTTACTAATCTTGCATTGATTACTTTTGGGGGAAAACATCTGATCTGTAAACTGTAACAGTTTTGTTGAATGATGTATTTTTGAGGAGCATATAAAAATCTCTCTATTGATTTCTCCCCCCTTCCTCCCTCTCTTGCACACATTCATACATTTCTATATAGAATAAAAGGTAGAGAGCTTTTCTTGAACAGAGTAATCCCAGTTCAAACCCTTGTCCAATTTGTTACCTAATCTTAAATCACTGATTTCATTCACAGAATGTTGTGAAGTTAGAATGAATGTTGGCTTCTGACTGAGGAATCCTTAGCCTGTTGCCTTGTGTAATACAGTTGTCTTCCCCCCCCCCCATATTGAGGAACCTTTGATATCTGAAATAAAACTGTTTCTGTATTTTAAAACTCTATTAAATACAATTCTTGGAAAATGCTTTGCATCGTATTTCCATTGCTAGTTTTTTTTAGAAACTTGACTATCGCAAAGAAGCAAGCAAGAACTTTATTGTAATAGCTTTAAGTCAAACATGCAAACCATCCCTATGAAAACTCTTCTCAGTGTGAAGATGGTTTTTCTTCCTTACCTTTCATTCTTCTTCTTCCTTCCCCTCCCGCACCCATCATTTGTCTTCATGATGAAATGGCAAAAATAAAAAGCACAAATTGTGTAGCTTAGTGCAGATTGTAATTTTCAAAGTCTACCTTTTGGCACATTTGAGCATTTAATACACCATATTTTAGCAAAATAGATGTTATAACAATTGCTTATTACTTTTAGGTGCATGATAATCAACTCACGTCTCTCCCTGCTGCTGTAGGATCACTAGAAAATCTTCAGAAACTTAATGTGAGGTAAACACATTCTATAAATGAAATAATATTTATGAAATAGAGTCTTGAAATATAGATCTTAATAACTATATTCAAAAGTATTTGCAAGCCATAGTGTTTTTTCTGTGGACAGGATGTTTTAAATTATAAAGGTATATTTAGGAAGAGAAATGAGTTATTTATTTTGTAAAGACAAATCTGGTTTAACAGTTCAAATTGGTCATATGTTTTGTTCTGTATAAAGCAAATCTTTTAAGCTCAAAGCTATGGCTTTCTCAAGTCCACCTCAGCTTCTGGTGATCACAAGAACAAAATAAGAAAGAAGTGCTTTTTTTACCTTTCCAGTTTAGTCACAGCCCTGGAATTTTCTGATTTCCATTCTAGTACTAACCTGACTAGCAGACTAGTACTAGCATCCAGGATACCTAATATCCTATATGTACAGTATCTCTTCCCCCTTTTTTTTACCATCTGTTCCAGCATAGTAAGGAATGTTGACTGACAGGCAAGAGAGAAGAGAGCCTTTTCTGTTCTCTGGAATGCAATCCTTCCAGAGATCTGATTGGCCTGTTGGCCTTCCATAAGCAGACAGTTAGCAGACAGATCAATCATATACAAATGCAGCCTTTCACAATTCCTATTTTATCAATAGTCATAATAAACTGAAAAAGATACCAGAAGAACTTACTCAACTAAAACACTTGAGGAATCTGCTTCTGCAGCACAATGAATTGTATCACTTGCCTGATGAATTTGGACAGCTTGTCAGTTTGGAAGAGTTGGTAAGTAGAAGCTTATGGCTTTATGACTTTTTGGTTTTGGTTGTTGCTACTGTACACTAAGTACAGTATATTTCTTGGTTTTGAAGTAGGCGAACCCCAAGTATAGGCAGTCCTTGACTTACACCCATTCATTTAGTGCAGTGTTTCTCAACCTTGACAATTTTAAAGGCATGTGGACTTCAACTCCCAGAATTCCACAGCCAGCATTGCTGGCTGTGGAATTCTGGGAGTTGAAGTCCACATGCCTTAAAATTGTCAAGGTTGAGAAACACTGATTTAGTGACTGTTCATAGTTAACAATGGCACTGAAAAAAATGATGTAAGACTGTTTTTCACACTTAGGATTGTTGCAGCATCCCCATGGTCACATGATCAGAATTTGAATGCTTGGAAACTGGCATGTGTTTGTGATGGTTGCAGTACTGTAGAGTCATGCGATCACCTTTTGCCATCTTTTGCAAAGTCAGTGGGGAAGCCAGATTTCATTTCACAACCGTGTTACCTAACTTAACTGCAGTGATTCACTTAATAACCGTGGCAAGAAAGATCGTCATATGGGATAAAATTCACTTAAATTTCTCACTTAGCAGCACAAATTTTGGGCTCAATTATGGCCGTAAGTCGAGGACTACTTGTAAAGGGAGAAAAAAGAGCAGTCAGTTTCGTTTCTGTTTCCCAAAATTTCCCTAAGAATGAGATACCCTCCCTGTAATAGTGCAAAAGAAAGCAGTGGAAGGTGTAAGAAGACAAGTCAACAATCCCCATGCTGTTTCTCCTGGGCTGCATACAAGTTTATATTATTATGGCTGGTTGCACAGTCAGCCAGATGTTTAAGCTGGATTTGGCCTTTGGCATTTTTTATCAATCTATCAAGTCCTTCCCGAAGACCTGGGATAGGCATATGTTCTGGTTTCATCATGTTAAACGTGTTGTCATAAATGCAAGCTGTTCCAAGTAAAGCTGCCTTTTTGCAATTGACTGATGGTGTTTTGTCTATTATTATTATGGTTCATCACCACAATCAGCCAGATGTTTAGAAGGGATTTGCATTTTTATCCACTTATAGAAGTTTTCCTCAAGGATTTAGGATTGCAAAGGTTTTTGTTTGATGGTATGAAAGGTATTGTTGCAGAATATAAACTTAATTATTATCCATTGGCTCTTGGTCATCGTAAATGGAAGAATTAGCTACACAATGTTATTGGGGAGTTTGGGTGGCATAGAATGAATGCAGGATACATCAATTTCCCTTTTTGTCTTGAGAACAGAGAAGGAATATGGCTTTAGTGGAGGAAGTTCAACATCAAATTCTTCTGCAGTGATAATCTTCACATGATATACCTTCCCCGGCATTGAGTTTCAGCCAGATACAGTATCTAGTAGCTCAGAGAAGGTTTGCAAACATATTCTGCAGTCACGCTGACTAAACACACAATGGTAAAAATGACCTTTCATGGTGGAAATGAAATGAAAGGAACCAATTTGCTTCTGTCTGGCTCATCAATCGAATAGGTAGGATATGCCAAAGCTTTGATGTTGGAACTCGAAGTGGAAGGTAGAATTATGCTAACCAATTTGTTTTCAGCTAACCCAGATCCAAATAGGTTAAATAAATAGGTTAATAAACATGGTTTTCTTTCCTTTCTTTCTTTAGGATATCTCTAATAACCACATATCTGGCATCCCAACAAGTTTTGCTTTCCTTATAAACTTGGTGCGACTCAATGTAGCTTCTAATCAATTAAGGAATCTACCCACAGAAATCAGTGCAATGAAAAGTAAGGGACTATTGAGTTAAACTTTAATCACTGCTTTATTTTTCCTTTTCTAAAAGAGGTTATTCTGAAATATTATTGTCAGCAATATTTTTTCTTTAAAGGAATTTTGTTTTCATGTAAGTGAAAAAATGGCATGCTAATTTTAAATAAACTATTAGACTAAATCTATCTGCCTTCCGTAGCTGTGAATGCTCCAACACTGGAATTTTTTAAGAAGAGACTGGACAGCCATTTGTCTGAAATGGTATAGGGTTTCCTACCTAAGCAGGGGGTTGGACTAGATGACCTCCAAGGTCCCTTCCAACTTTTTTTATTATTGTTGTCGTTGTCTAGGCAGGCGAGCAAAGTGTACTTCTATCTAGTTATTAGTAGTAGTATGCATTAGTAGTAGTATGCATACTAGCTCTGGGTATAGAAATTATTTACCATAAACTCTACTGCACATTTTCTTAGTAGTTTATACTGTAGAGAAATGGAAGTAGCATTTTTTTTTCAAATTCTCACTAACTTTTTTAATGGATTGCCTTTGTTTTTATTCTGAAATAGCATTTATGATTTTTCTAAACTGCATTGGGATTGTATAACAGTATGTGGGAATGATCTTGAGGGACAAAGGGAAGAGATGCTGCAGAGGAAACAACCAGAGGGAGGCACCCAAAAGTGCTTAGTGGTCAGAGAAAGAAATTTAGGTATGACTTGCTCTAATTGATCAGGCTGTTAAAATCAATAGCAGGAGATTAGTATGATTAAACTTGCAGGATTCTGTTAATGTGGTCTTCCAATAAAGTAAAATTAGCTTATTTGTGTGTGTTTTCTGTTTGGTTTATCTGGATGGCTGACAAATTGTTTGCTTTTAAGAACACCTTTAGAATAGCTAAAAAGAAAAGCTTGAATTTTAAAAAGTGTTTTGAGTTCTGCTTACACAACATTTCATTGCAGTTTATGAAAATCATTTGTAACAACATGTGTTGTTGACATAACTATGTAAATAGAAATACTTTATGCATACAGGTAATCCTTACTGACCACAATTTCCATCACTAAGCCACACAGTCATAATATGAACATCATGTGACTGTGGTCAGGAAATAAATCAGCCATGGTAGTTAAGCACACATTACATGATTATGACTTGTGCTCTCCTACCACCTTCCTTGTTCACTTGGCTGGTCAGAAGCTGGGTGTGCAGGTCATAAACGAAGATCATGTGACTGTTGAAATCTCTGACTGTCATAACTTCACACCAGTTGACAAACGCCAGGATCATGATCATGTGACTGGAGATGTTGCAGCAGCCACAAGAACAAAGGCTGGTCATAAACCTCCATTTTCTGTAATATTGTAACTTTGAACATTTGCCGATTGAGCGTTCGGTAAATGAGGACTACCCACATAACATAGATGAAATATTTTTAATAATGTTTTATAGATGATAATATAAATCATGCTGATTCCCAAGATTATTTCTATAACCTTGCATTTTCCACTGTTACTGAAGAAGCCAAGTTGGTAACATGCCATACATATACTTGAGAATTTCTTTTTATTGATCTTTGTTAAATTAAACATGGATACACTTTCTAGAGGTAGCATATTGAAAACCTGTATGGTTGTGATCTTTAATAAGCTATCATAGAATAGAATAGAATAGAATAGAATAGAATAGAATAGAATAGAATAGAATAGAATAGAATAGAATAGAATAGAATAGAATATCTTTATTGTCATTGTGCATCTCACAACAAAATTAAAATGTTGTCCACAGTACACACTACACACAAGTAAGAACCACAAGTTCTTATTTTGGTACTGATTATTTTGGTACTGATGATATAACTTATTTCTCCATTTGCTCTGTTCCTCTAGGTTTAAAACAGCTTGATTGCACTAAGAATTTCCTGGAAACTATACCTCCTGAATTGGGCAGTATGGTTTCATTAGAACAACTTTATCTAAGGAGAAATAAGTTGTGCTGCCTGCCAGATTTTCATTCATGTACATATTTAAAGGTAGGATTTGTTTTCTTTAGCAGATAATTGAGATGTGAATTGAATCCAGCAGTTTTTATCAAAATGAAAATATCCGTGTCACAATATCACTATAGAGGTTCCAACTCTTCTATACCTACATGCAATAGTGAGATAAGTATTTTGTTGTTTGCTCTTTTCAGGCATCCATAGCAGACAGTGGTGATATAAAATCTTACAGTTCAAGATTGTAATAAATGCTATCATGTGCGCTTAACCTCTAGAAAGATTGGAGAAGTCATTTATTAAGTTGGTGAAAAAGAAAGAAATTGCGACTGAGTTGGCACTATCCTCCCTCTTTTCAATGTACTTGACAATTCAACATACAGTAAATTATGCAATAAACTGCTGGCCATTATTTCAGTTCAAGGAGCACATTTCTATTTTGTATGGTGTATATACCTCAGAGGGTAAATGAAAGGAATATACTTACTCATTAGTTGAAGAGGAAGAAGTAGAAGAAGAAGAGAATTAATAAAATAATAATAGTGGGGCCCCGTAGACGGAAAAATCTCCCTCCCTCCCCCCCCCCTCTCTGGAAATGAATACATTTACAAGTTAACTGCAATTATATGAATATAATTTTTTCTTAAATGAGATTATCAGAATTGTAATTATATTTGTGGAGGAACAGGTGTGATTTAGTTCACAATAATCTTTATGTATTTAATGCTTGTAATATTACAATACAATATCACATTTAAGGAACTCAATTAAAATAATGCATATTATTGCTTTTAAACTTATAAAATTACAAAAAATTTATTGGCATATTCTGCTTCTTAGATTACTTTATCTTAATACGGTAGCTGTAAGGACAATATTTCTTCTTTATTTTTCTAGGAATTGCATGTTGGTGAAAATCAGATTAAAGTATTAAGAGCTGAACAACTGAAGTATCTGAATTCCTTGTGTGTGTTGGAACTAAGGGATAATAAGCTGAAATCATTGCCTGATGAAATTACTCTGCTACAGGGATTAGAACGACTAGACTTATCCAACAATGATATTAGCAAGTAGGAAGCATATTTATTGTTATTACTTGTGGATGGAGAAACATTATATGTTAACTGAGTTCAAAATCACGCTTTGCCTTTGGAAAGTGTGTTATTCATGAAACTGTAGAAATAAGAGTCTTTTCTAATAATGAAGTTCAAAATAATGAATGATAGAGATAATTATACTGCAGTTACTTGGTTTGATGGATATAATCTCTGAAATAACCCCTTTATGTTGTCAGTCTTCCTTGTAAACTAGGAAACCTTTCTAAGTTGAAATTCTTAGCGCTGGAAGGAAATCCTTTAAGAGCAATCCGAAGGGATATTCTACAAGTAAGTATACATAATGTACATACCACATTACTTATTTCTGATCCTTTAGAATTATAATATAAACTACCTATGCTTTTAATTCTTTCATTTTAGAAAGGAACACAAGAAATGCTGAAATACCTTAGAAGCAAAATACAAGGTAAATAATGTATTTATAAGTCAAAAATTATAGTTAATTGAGACTTTGGAATATCTGTTACATTCTCATTTGTTGAGAAATGTTTTAGCAATTTTAACGGAAATGTGTATTTTTATTTTGGAAAATATAAGTACCAAGTAAACATGCAGACTTCCTGGATGGCGGAGCAAAATATTGTGAACGTTACCTTACTGATCACTTATTTATTGAAATATCCTTTTATTAGCAGAACTGGGTCAATAGTTTTGAAGATTTTTTTAAAGAATAATTCCAAATATTTTCCAAGGATGCTATATTTAGAATTGACCTAAATTTGGGAGGGAGAATTAAGCCTGGTGTGAAACAATTACTTTTGGTGATGGACAATCTCAAAAGTGAGAACAAATGTATTCACTCTTCGTTTGGTTCTGTCTACAACAACTATTCAACGCTAGGAATTTTCCAGTCCATTTAATTGAACAAGTTTGATTTTTGAATGCACCTATATAGCATACATCCCAAATGAAAAATACTTAAGGTTGAATATTTTAATCTAGTCTGTTAAAACATAGACTAAGCTTATTGGTAAAATTTGAAATAATCTTATTGGATTTTACGTGAACTTACATTTTTTTTGTAGATGATGAAATAATTAACCCAAACGGAGAATTTCCTGTGACAGCAATGACTTTGCCAAGTCAATCCAAAATTAATATGCATGCTATTACTACGCTGAAGACATTAGATTATAGGTAGGAATATTTTAATTTTATAAGAACCAGATTTTTTTATCATTTCCTGCCTCTGGAATATCTTTCACCTAAAACTGAATGAATCAACCTCTTTGCTGAAAATTTGAAATTCTTTAAAACAGATTTTTATTTTAATTTTTAATTGTTAGTTTAATATTTGTATTAATTGTGTTAGGTTTTTTTTTACTATAACCAACCTTAAGAAAATGTTAGTCAGAAGTATAAAAGCACAATAAAAATAAACAAATTTATGAAAGTATTCAGCTTCAGGGTGGATGTGTACCCAAATCTTCTTGAACTATAACATTGTTTGAATTTGTTTAGAACTATTTATGAATTCAACCGTTTTGGTTTATAGAATATAACCCATGGAATCAATCATTACAACTTAATTAAAAAAAACATGGTTTTCAAAAATTCTGGCTTGAGATGAATGCGTGAGCCCAATCAGTGACCCCTAAGAAGTCACTTATATCAGGAAATTTCTTATTTATACTTGAATGAAATAAGGCAATTCATTTCTGTTACATGAATTGCATTTTTTATTTAAATTATTGTTATTGAGGTCAAGAGTTTTGTCAAGCAGACATTGCAAAGACTAAATAAGAGTGTTAGTTGTGATATAGCTATCCTGGCTTGTGGTTTCATAGGTTAATGTCAGCCATCCCATTTAGCACATTCAACAAAAGAACCTTCTGGCTCTTTAGTGTTGCCAAGATTTTAGCTTTATTGAAAGATCCATCTAGGCACAGCAGAAGCAAAGTCAGTTCTGGGATTTTCCCATGAAAACCCACATAGTGAAACCCCTTTTCCCCTTCCAAGCCACCTACAGTTCATAGTTCACCAGTGTAGTTGTCTTGTTTTGGGAAAAAACTTTCTGCGCTGCTCAAACAATTTTCATAACTTGACCTTGGTGGATAACGTCTCGCCGGCAACAGAAGGCTCTCTTGCATTCCATAGCTTCCCCCCTCCCCCCAAGAATTCACCAACCTTCCTCCCGTCACTGTTTGACAAAACTGCGAGCGAAAGCAGGGGCAGGCATTCATGGAGTGCAGTCAGGTTTGACAGTTAGTACAGTAAAACCTTATTTTAATAGACCAATTGTGGGTAGGGTCTGTTGTTGAAGAAAGTTGAACTGGAAAGTGAGATAACGTAGAGATTTATACCTTTTGTGCACGGGGTTATGAAGTTGCTACCCAAATTAGATGAATCAAAGCAGAATTTTGGTCTCTTGCATGGCAAAGTCTATTGTATCCTGGTCTGGCACAGTAAGATTTTATTGTATAAATAAAATCTACAACAGAAGATGTTGATAGGGATTTTAAAAAAGGAATGGTTTTATCATTAAATGTATGACATGTTGAACTTTTAATGTGTTTTTATAACATTCCAAAGAAAGACTGTCTAGAGCAAACAAGACCAATCATCTTTATCCTTTCAAACGAGGTAACTTTTTAAAATGCTGTGTAGTGAGAAACAGGCCGCTGTAATACCGGATGACGTTCTGAATGCAGTTGGGGACAAACCAGTCAGCAATGTAAACTTCAGCAAGAATAATCTGACTGAAATTCCAGCAAGGTACTAAGTTTTTATAATTTTTAATATTGCTCTTTCTTACTGTAAAGGAAATTTACAATAACGACCCTAATTGGGACCAGAATTTCCGTCCCTACGCGATGCAGTTGTTAGGCGAAACATTGCATGACCACACACGCCTCTTAGCGATGGCAGTTCTATAATCTCAGTCGTGAATGTTAGGCGAGACCCATGTCATCATAAAGCAAGGACCTCAGGCTTTTGCCCTTTCCTGCAGTGGTAACCCCCCACTATAGCTCCCCCCAACCTGCCTTTCTCCCCCTCCCCACCTCTACCCTTTTGGCCGCCTCATACTATGCTGCCCTATATTTTGCCACCCAGTGTTCCCTTGATCTATTGCCCTGCTCTCCATTGCCCCTGCTTTTCCAGCTACCCTCCACTACACCCTGTAGCTCTATTTTCCCGCCCTACATTGCCCCTGCCACCCTAGGCTCCACCTCACCTCTCTGTACTTCATCCCTCCTGCCCACCTTATCCTATGGTTTAGCTGCGCTTCCATTGCCCCACCACCCTGTGCTCTGCCATCCCGCCACTCCCACTGCTTTGTGCTCTACCCTGTACCCCCACCACCCTGCCCTTGATCACGCTTAATGTCTGGTCTCTATAGCTTTCTGTCTCACTATGGGATGAAATGTAAGCTTTCAGATTTTTGTTTTTTTTCTAGTGTTTCTTAGCAATTGCCCAAGTCCTATTCTCAAATAGCGTACATTTATTTTCCTTCGGATAGCATTACATTTTAACTATGAAATATAGGCCAGTTTTTTTTAAAAAAAACTATAAAAGTTTAAATGTATTATTGGTATTTTTTTAAACCGCTCCAAATAATGCAGAACCTAACAACATCAATTAAATTGCTTGCTTATTTATTTATTTTTACAATTTCTCCAGGATTGTGGAACTAAAAGAATCTGTGAGTGATATCAATTTTAGTTTCAATAAGCTGTCTTCTGTTTCACTGGAGCTCTGTATGCTTCACAGGCTGACACATTTGGATCTTAGGTAAGCAATTCCTGAAAAATTTCAAAGGTGTATTTGAATTATAACTTTCTGCAGTTTTGTTTCCTCCCCAAATGAAAAAAAAATATTGAAAGGTTTATCTAAGAACTCAATTCAGAAGTGTCAGAGCAGAATAAAACCAATTCAGATGAGTCGCAAAGGGTCCTGAAAACGAACATTTCTCTCAAAATTGCCAGTGTTATCAGGCAGGAATGTTTCAAAGGCTCAGCTTCATTTACTTCAGTGACAGAATTGTGGTCTTGGGATCCCTGATAAAGTACTCTGGTTGCATGAAAATTACTATAAATAGAAGCCCCCTTCAGAAGCTTCCTCTTAATATTTGGGCAAGACTTATTTGATTCTTATGAATCTGACTAATGTTGATTTAGATATGGTTGAAGTCCAAGATTATGTGAGAACCAGCATATTGCAATATATCAGGTTTGGGATTAGAAGTGGGGAATTGGCTCTAGTTCACCTTCAGCCGTGGAATCGTACTGGTTGAGTTTGGGCCAATTGCATTCTCTTCTACTATATAGGATTGTTATGCAGGAAAAAATAAGTTTTGTATTATGCTTAGATACAAGCACATGCCAAATAAACCTACTAATGCTGATGGCAATAATTTCCTCAACATCAAGAGGAGAAACTAGGCCAGGGGTGTCATGTGACGTGTCGCGACGTGTCATGACTTTTTTGCCATTGCCGGAATGGAGTGGGCGTGGTTTCGCTATGATGTATCCGGCCTGCGGGCTGGCAGTTTGACACCCCTGAACTAAGCCATACTTTGCATAATTTGAGACCCACTTATTTATATCTATTCCCCTGGCCATGTAGAGTAGATACAAGTAGAAAGAAGAACTCTTTGGAATTAGGCCAATGTTTCTTAATCCTGGCAACTTGATGTATGGATTTTAACTCCAGACATTTGCTAGTTGGGGAATTCTGGGAGTTGATGTCCCCAAATCTTCAAGTTGCCATGGTTGAGAAAAACTAAATTAGACTATCTAGAGTAGCGTATTTTCCGGCGTATAAGACGACTTTCTAAAGCATTCAAATCGGCGCCGAAGTTGGGGGTCATCTTATACCCTGGAAATTACGGTAGTTTCTGGCATATGAGACAACTTTCTAGGCATGCAACTTGGCGCCGAAGTCGGAGGTCGTCTTATACGCCTAGTCGTCCTCTACGCCGGAAAATACGGTAATTCTCAATCTTACTAACTGGAGGTTCCTAACAGGTTTTGAGAACAGCAGTTCTATTGTCTGACCCCAAAACTACCTTCTTTTCAAACTGAGGTATATTTATTTACGTTCGAAGGGAAACATCATTTTATGTATGTTTTACATTACATAGTTCAATTTAAATATTAACATACAATAAAAAGTGATTGCTTTCTGTTTGACAATTTAGAAATAACATTTTGACATCTCTGCCAGATGAAACGGAAGCACTGGCAAAACTACGGATAATAAATCTTGCCTTTAACAGGTGAGTGCTCTTAGAGTCTCTCCTTTTCATTGTGTGATATTATGTGGGGCTGCTATTTGTATTTTGGAAAGCATTGTGCATGTATGTCACCCAACAAGTCTGATGTACAAACAGAATCAACGCAGGAAACTTTAAGGAGATTTCATATTTGAAAAAGCTATCTTCTGACAGTGGAAATGCCTGTCCCATACAGTAGATGTCAAAATGTTATGTTCCCTTTCTCACTATTCTGCAATAATTTAAGATAGCTTCACATAGAAATTGATTGGCTAGGGACATTTATAGAGTAGTTAGCGTGCAACCTGTTTGTCATTCAGAGATGAATTATACATAAAAACATTTGTTAAAGTAACATCTTTTCCCATAAGCATTTCTCTGTAAAAATTACCCTGGGGTAAGATGGGCGGCCAATAAATTTGATAAATAAAATAGGATCCAGCCAGTGCCAATTGGTTTTTCAGGATACAAAATTCTGTTTTTAAATGACTTTATCATCTGAAATCACAGTTGGATTTTAACCATTAAAAATAATTCTATGTTTTTTATTCCTTATAATTAAGACTTTTATAAATTGCGCGTGTTTAGAGTGTACTATATAGTAATCTCATCATTCATCACTCATCATGTTTTTTCAATAAGGTGTCGAAAGAATATAGTTTGTCATGTTGGCTCTGTGTGATCACAAGAATTTAACAGTGTATTGTTGGTTCTGTTTCCACAGATTTTTTTTTCCCTTTGGTATAATCAAATTTATTTCAACTTACCTATTTACTAATGAAATGTGTATGAATTTTTATAGATTTAAAATATTTCCAAATGTCCTCTATCACATTCTGACCCTTGAAGCCATCCTTCTTGGAAATAATCAAATTGGATCCCTAGATCCTCAGCAGTTAAAGAAGATGGAAAAGCTCAGTACTCTAGATCTTCAAAATAATGATCTCTTACACATTCCACCAGAACTTGGGAATTGTGAAAATCTCAGGTGACCACATGAGCTTTGAATATTTTTAAACAGCGTATTTATTTTACCAAAATACTGTGCAGAAGCATTACAAACATTTATTGGGGCTTTTGCAGGGGGTTTACTGTTCCATTGATGTCTGTTGAACTGATTTGCTTTTACTTTTGAAAGTATGTATTATTTAATTGGCTACGGAGTGTCAGAGAATATTCCGATCCTTAGGATAGTTTGCATCATTTTCAGTTAGAGATCTGCTTTGCCATGTGCTCCTAATTTTACTTACTAATTTGTTCAATTTGTTCAAATAAATTACATTGTTCTAATTTTGTAGTGTGTTAAGCTTATGGATTGTCTTCGAGGGCAGCCCCATGTAGAGTGCATTACAACAATCCATGCGGAAGTGACCAGGACATGAGTGACTGAGAGTAGAGTCTCCGATCCAGAAGATTTATGTCCTATCAACCTAAGTAAATTCTTGAATAGCATATATGCCAAATTCAATTTAATAAAAACCTCAGAATCAATTTGTTGGAAAGACCACGTCTAAATAAATTGAATTCTTTCCCCTATGGGGAGTGAAAAGGACAGTGCAAAATCAGTCATCTGACGTGATGGCTATGCAGTTAATTACCTAAAGTAGAGCAGTTCGGCTTTAAATCAAATAAACTGATAATTATTACTCGGAATACTAATAAGCCCCAAAGAAGGTTAAACTGATGCTTTTGATGTGTAGATCTTGTTTCAAGAATTTAGAATGGATTAGGGCTTTTTTCAATGTAGTAGGTTTCTCTTGCAAAGTTGCACCTAAAAGCAAAGCTTGCAAGAAGATCAGTCAATCAAAATATGAAGCTGATTTCAGGTCTGCCTTTGAGATAGAAAATAGACTTTAAAGCAGGGGTTCTCAACCTTGGCAACTTTAAGACTTGTGGACTTCAATTCCCAGAATTCCTCAGCCAGCTTTGCTTTGCTGGCTGAGGAATTCTGGGAGTTGAAGTCCACAAGTCTTAAAGTTGCCAAGATTGAGAACCCCTGCTTTAAAGAGAGCTGCTGAGAGGACATGATTTCAAGGGTAAGCCTGTAGAGGAAAAACAGACATTTTAATAAATGGCAAAGTATTACTGAAAGGCAAATAGATTATATATATATATACAGTGTTGCTGTTGAATGTTTAGTCTAGCAAAATCCTCATGCGAATTTGGAAGCATTTTGAAGATGTTGATTCAGCTTTCTCCAGTTTGAATGAGAGGCGTCTCCATGGGTTTCCCCTCTCCCTCTGCATTTTTATGTCTTCTTATAAACTCTGCATCCGAATGAACAGCAGTTCTAATTGGTTTCTGTCTTTCTCTTAAGAGTACTTTTACTGGAAGGTAACCCTTTCCGAACTCCCCGAGCAGCTATTCTGGCTAAGGGGACAGTTGCTGTCCTTGAGTATCTGAGAAGCAGGATTCCTACTTCATCTGTTGCTGCAGATGTGAACTAAAAAGTATGCAACATCTTACTTTCTGAAGAACGAAGATCACGGCGTTTGTTGTTATGAGAAACGTAACTTGAAAATGCATATGTTAGGAAGTTGCTTATAGGGTTCTCAAAGATTTTAGTCTACTGCAGGCTGTCCTCGGGGCCATACTTGTATGGCATATATTTGGGTGATTGATATGTGACTCTACCCAGCAAAAGCAAATGGTTGCTTATGGCCTTCTCCCCCCTCAACATATAAATTTGGTATGGACATGTTCTAATTTTATATTTGGTACTTCTCAGCCACTTAGAATTCTGTTTGTTTATATGTTTTAAGAGCACCAACAATGTGTTTGCAATTCATGTATACAACGTTAAGGCTTTGGTCCGAAGGCTGTTAGAGAAGAGGTGTAAGCTAAAGATTTGCTTGCCATTGGTATTTTGGTACATGAATGTAATATGTATTTTAAAATCAGATTCAATTTCAAAAACAGCATTTATACATGTTTACAAATGCAAAGAATGTTTATGGAACAAAAATATCCTCAAAGTATCCTCAACTTTGGGGCTGTAGGCTCTCATGGTTTTAGTGAATTTCATAGGCATCATTGCAAATATTAGTTTTGTAGGAAGTAAACTGGTGAGGTTCCTTTCGTATTTTTCCTCACATATATCACATTGTAAATACCCTCTACCTTGCTTGTATTCTGTTCTCTCATATGTTTGTTTCTTAATTGGAATGATACACATGATACACTTATTTCATTGTGGTATTCTGTTTGGCTTGCTTTCAGATTATTTTATTCTGATACAAGTCTCTGTCTGAGTGAGAATTCCTGACAAATTCTAGTCCTGAAATATTAAGTAAACGTTCAGTTAATTGATAAGTTGTACTGTTGAATCACCAGTGTTCCGACTAAAGTTTTAATTCCTTGTAGAATACTATCTGTTCAACAATATATGGAATTGTTTATTTCTTGGATGCTGGCGAGTACTGAGGGTAATTGCGAAAGCTACAGTCGTAATTGAATCAAGCTTAAGAGACAGCTAATTCTAGCTGAGGGGTGAGCAACTATGGCCCCTTTACAACCTGTGGATTTCAATTCCCAGAATTCCTGAGCCAGAAATGGCTCCTGGCTCAGGAATTTTGGGAACTAAAGTCCACAGGTCAGAAAGAGTCCATAATTGCCCAACCCAGTCTAGCTTCCACCCATACAACCTTACCTCTGCCTAGCCCAGTCAGCTGTTCCAGTAAGGGGGCGATTTCTCCAGTATCTTGATATTAGATGCTGGCCATTGATACACTAAATAAAGGCCTATTTTAGAGAAAGATAAAATGTGCTGATTGAAGGTAAAGAGGTGCTGTGTCCTCTTCTAGATGTTTTCTTTTGTCTGTATAATACAGTAAAATGTTTTGTAAATATGCTGGGAGGAATTCTTACAGATCAAAGTGGTGCTTCTGGGCATTAGTTGTAATCCCCAACAAGTATCCTTAGGTGCTCCTGTGTGAAGCAGTAGACACTGACTTTTTTTAGCAGTTAGGAAGATAAGGATAGCATAAAGGCTACACTAGTGCAATAAACCTGTGTGTGTGTGTGAGAGAGAGACACAGAGAGAGAGACAGACAGAAAGACTCCACACCCGCTCAGCTCTGTCAGAAGCTTTCCACTCTATATGAACTTTAGCTACAGCAGGATCATCAACCTTCAAAATTCAAAAACCCCAGAAGAGCAAATGTTCTCTCTATGGTGGCAGCTGCTGGGAAAGTAACCTTTAAGCTGCACTTTTATGTTCCAAACTATGCTTCAGGCCAGGGGCCTTCAAACTTGGCCCTTTTATGACTTGTGGACTTCAACTCCCAGAATTCCTCAGCCAGCATGCCTGGCTAAGGAATTCTGGAAGTTGAAGTCCACAAGTCATAAAAGGGCCAAGTTTGAAGACTCCTACTTCAGATAAACTTGGGAGTTTTAAAAAAATTAAAAATAAGTGTGAAACCGAGTACAAATAAAACCAAAGTTCTCACGAGACACGTGCTGCTGATTACTGATACTTGCTTTCTGTGGGGGATAAAAGATTAAATTGTTGCAATACATTGCTCTGAAGGCAGAATATTTACAATAAGGTGACTTTATTTATACAATAGACTTTTTAATATATTATTCAAAACACTTTTTTTAAATACTGAAAAAATTTGAGTACATCAAAGCCGAAAATGGCTCTGCTATACGCTGCACAGCATTGTTTTGAGTCCCTGTATTCTTTTTATGTACAGAAAGCATCTGCAAAATGCATTCTAGACACAATATACACCTTACTAGTTAGTGTCAATACGCAAAGTAAAATGGAAAAGATACTATCTGTATGTGCAAATTAAAGATAATTGATTTCACTGAATCAATTCATTTAAAATATAGCTTTAAAGTACTTTTTCACATAAAATGAAGCAGCTTTCAAGTTCAGTAAATCTGTATACTGCAAAACATTGAATTACATTCACAATCTATGTTAATAAAGTAGTAAATGATTCTTCAGCCTTATTTACAATGATACTGTAATTAAACTGAAAAGTATTTTGTCATATAGCAATCTTTTTAACACATACAAAAATGACAGTTCTGTATATAATTTAAGCTCAAAATCACAATTGTTTCAAAATATTAATTACAATACAGCTATCTCTATAATTCAACATGTGTTTTATAAAATGGTAAAATTTGTATTAAAGTAAGTTGTTGGTTTTTACTTGATTACAGTACCCACAAGTAGAAAAACGTAACTAATAAGTCTTTGTCTTGCCCAGTGTAAAGCCACTTAAGCTAGCAAAGAGGCAGGAAAGGCCCCCGATTTATAAAAATTCAGCCTCTTGTGTTGAACTGGTGTGGCTTATTGATGTTCAGAATAAAACTTCACAAAGGGCCATGAACATTCTAGATGGAATGAAATGGTGAGGAAACTTAATGCACATTTAAAGTTCATAAAGGTTAGCAACAGTAGTCTGAATTCATTTTTTAAAAAAAAATAATCCACCATCAAGAACTTGTGTGCTGAGGCAAATATTCTTAGCCTCTGGGTGTCACTGTGGGATTTCTCAATCAGGATTACCATTGTAGTAAGTACATAAAGTGAGTTTTTAAACTACCAGCAATGCATTTTAAAAAAAAATTAATTCTAATTTCTGATTTAAAAATCGCTTTAATACTTGTCTCCTGTTTGGAATGCAGGGTAATAAAGGCAGACATGAACAAAAGGCAAAATATTCTAGTAATTCTGAATGAATCTGTAGATATTTTACTAAAAATAATGTTTTATAAATCCTAGTACTCTTCAATTTCACCTCTTACTTTAGGAACATGAAAGTTACAAGCATGGAAAACTTCAGCTGGTCATTGGAAAATGGTTGCTGTTGGTGTGACTGAATCTTACCAATATAGTAGCTCTTCTCATTTGCTTGGGCATTTTGAAAAAAAGGCATGCATTGTTGCCAGAAACCGAACTCAAAGCACTCACAAGCTAGCTCAGTACAATGCTTATCTTTTTACTGAGAAATAGGAGGCATGAGATTTACAGTGAGGTTTTTTTTGAAGACATTTCATTACCCAAACTAGGTAACATCATCAGTGCTATATATGAATGAAATGTCTGCAAGAAAACAATCCAGCTCAGAGAGTACCAAGTACCCCTCATTTCAGACCTGAGCTACAAATATTTTCGTTTATAGGTTTACAGTGATTAAATCTCTCTTAAAAAAAAAATAAGATTCAAATTCAAAAATCTGTCCCTATTTAATGTATGAGGTCCTTAGTGCAAAAGGATGCGCTGAAGCTATGGAAGTCATAATAAATCTGCTACTGCCATGCAAAGCTACCAAGGGAATCTGTCAGCTCCTGGGAAATTTGACAATACGTTTTGTGAGAGATTTTAAACGGTACTCGCCATTGATAGCAAGGGCAAAATAGAATTCACAATAGCAAAACAGTTCACTTTCCTAACCATTGTCCTAATGTGCCTTCCTTATTAATAGTTAATTGTATCTTATTACACTAATATTTACACATGAATTAAAAAATTTACATCATTTGTATGACAAGAACAGAAGTCTAATTTTAAACCAGTTGCAATTTTTAAAGAGGTGCTTGTATGAAAGGATAACTTTAAAAATTGCTGCCTAGATAATTCCTTGCACTTAGTTGATTTTTTTTTTTTAAAAAAAAATGTCATACCTAACAAAATGATTCCATGTGCTACTTGCAAGGTGGTGTTTAAAAATTTATTGTACCTCCTAAAATGATTCCGTACAGCATCTTATTAACTAGATTGCTTTTTAGATTACTTTCTATAAATAGTCCTGGGAAGAAAATCCGTTAAGAGGGGTTCTGAGAGCAAAAGCTTGCCTAAGACCGCTCGGTATAGCATCTGTTACAGGCAAATTGGCCTAGCTGCAGGCACAGATACAAACCCATTTGTTCTCTGTACAGCAAAGTCCTATTTCTCGGAAGGGGAGGAGTGTCCAAAAACAGCTGCTCTGCTGAGTGGAAGCCAAAAAACCAGAGCTGTCTGTCTTTCCTGGTTCTTTTAATCACGCTTTAAGGCATGTTTGGGCAGAGCGCCTTTGTATATAGTCAGGATTGGCTAGCACAACTGTCACCATGGAAACAAATGCAGCAAAACCCAATTTGAATGAGAAGTAGAAGCTGAAGGGAGCAGTTCAGCTTCAGCTTCTGCTTTGGAATTCGCAGGAGCCTTTAAAAAGCCAAGATGACTGAATAGATTTGCTCGGATTACCTGTTTGGAAGCAGGAAGGGAGATTTTAGCTATACAGGCTCTGTCTGTGTTTTTCAGAACTGTCTAAAGATCATTGTGGGACTAGTGACATATATGCAGTCCTTCACAAATTGAATAAATGTTGTATACTGTTTGAAGCACTATATTTTCTTTATCACCGTGGGGGAAAGCAGGGTATGCTTTCCCCCACAGCAAGAACCCTGTCAAGTAGTTTGGGCTGAGAATGACTGTCTGAAAGCCACCCAATCAGCTTGCAAGATTAAGGGTAGGCTTGAATCTGGATCTTCTGGTGCTGGTTCAACAGGTTAAGATCACACATTATTCCTTATCCAATGCTCTGTAAATTTAAGGAGATGGGAAGAGAGAAAGATTTCCATACTTAACCCTTCTTCCAAATTACACTCCCTTTTCTGACATGGATATTTAACAGAACTCAGCTGGATGTGCCATACTTGGGCTGAAGACATCTGCCGTTATCCTCAGGTCTGTTTCTTAGTCCCCAACCTCTGCATTCCCCCAACTGGATAGTTGCAAGATGGGAACTTCCAGCTAGCTCTAGTCAGCTTCAGAAGGACTACTAGGACATGATGAAATGTGATAGTAAAGAAAACATGAATTGGCTTTATACTCACACTAAACCTGAGCAGAAGCAGGGAATAACGTTTTCTTAATGATTTCATGCCCTTCAAAAAGGTAGACTCCCTAAAGCTCCCTAAATAACATAAACATTGTTCTGTTGGGGGAAAGCTGTCCATGTATGGTAATTAATCCAGTACTTGACTTGGAAATGCTGCGCTCACTGCTTTATGATGCCATTTTTTTCCCATTAAAGGATGACCAAAGCAAGCAATGCTAATTAGGACATGCATCATAATGCACTTTTCCAAACTACATGTTGCCAAGGTGCAATTGTGCTTTTAAGAAGTATAGTGATTTTACACGTCATAAAGCTGATTTCAATACATTAATTTATATTGGCATTTTAGAGAAAAAGCAATGCAGTCCCATTTTCCTTACTGAATTAATCTCTGAGAAAAATCTACATGATTTCTGGTTGGCTGAGATGATTCAGTAATTAAGAGGAAAAGAAGGGTTAATGCTCTTTTTTTTAAAAAAAGAAAAAAAAACAGCAGAACAAAATCATGGATAAAATGGATAAAATGTAGAAGCAAAGGATCTTTGCACTCCTGCAAAGCATTTTTTTTCTTAAAAATTCAGCAGAGCTCAAATTTATATTGTGAATTATTTAAATGTTTTTTATCGCTGGGAAGATAGCATATTAATTTTGTACAAGATTTTTATAAAGGATTAGGAAAAAGTATTAATAAATATCAACTTTTTACGTAATTAATTTTCTACTCACTTTGAGACAACCAGTTATTTTTGTTAGGAATGAATAATTCCAAACCAAGGCCTCTTATTTAAACCATAGTGTATCTATCTTTGGAATCAAAGAAATTTCCTTCCCACACAGAACCTGCAATAATATTTTTGAACAATAAAGTTAAATCTCATCTAAACAAACACTAATTTTTTAAAACAAACATTGCCATTAATCTAAAGAATATTGTATGGATTAATCTGTGAATTTCTATTTACTATGTCCTCACTTCTAAGTCAAATTGGAAGCTCATAGCAAAATTCATATCCCCCCCCCTTGAATATTTAGTATTGTTAAAGCCATCCATTTATTTGCACATTGTGCTAATGTGCACATTGTGGGATCTCTTTCCTATTTAATAAATTTTTGGTATGGACATTTTTCTGCACATAAGTCTTTTACACCAATTTTCTAATTTGACTCTAGAAACAATGCACAAAGTTGGCAATGAAAATGATCACCTGTTCGGAGTCCAGGAAGAGAATAATACTATTTCCCTTACTAGGTTGCGCATTACAGACAAAGTGGAGATATTCTCCATAGCAGCATGGTATTCAGAATTCAAGAAACAGCCTACTTTGTGGTCACACACAAATTGTGAAAAAAATGGAAGTTTTCTTGATCTTCTCTCCTTATTCAGACAATTATCAGACTCTTGGGCTAATCAATCTGTGGCAATTTTTTGAACTCCTGAATTCCAAAGTTGGGCTTGTTTTCAAAGTCCTTTGGCATGGTAAAGATTGGATGTATGGTGGAATATTTATGCACTTACGAAATTTCTATATCATGGCAATAAAAAACTCTTGGCAGTTTTCAGATGCCTGACATATTTGCCTTACAAGAATATTCAATTACATACTTTCTTAGACTATGTGAGGGGCAACAAAATACTTGTATTTCCTTTCCTTCTTGTCACTATGTTCAGAATTGTAACATTCTAACCCTGTCCGTATCTGAATGTTCTGGTAACTCAAAGCAACATTACATTCATCTGATGAAGATGGACTACAATCCTTGGAAGCTTACACCAGTTTGTCTAATTTAGCGTCTTCTAAACATATAGCCCATAATTGCCAGCATAAACAGAGGTTGGGATGCCTAAAGGTTATGGAAGTTGTAATCCAAACAATCCACAAACCATCAACCAGGATGATACAAGATACAGTATCTACTGATGTTCCTACGAAACATCAGTAAATACTGTTACTATTTTTGTGATTTATATTGTAAGCTTCTTTGAGGTAAATACTGGAAAGGAAATATATGGTTTTTTTAATAATTAATTGTGAGCATAGCAAAGCCTGGTTTTGCCAATGTAGACTCCTATTACCATCCCAAATAAATTTAATATTGTTTTAAATTCGATATTGCACTTTTCAAAGATATATATGTATTTACATTGTAAAAAAGGGAAAACTGAAAAAGCTAACAGGTCTGCAGTGTAACTCCAGACCTATTTCTACAGAAGTGAATCCCATTACCGTAAGTTCAATTCTTATGTTACTGAATATAGAACTACTAAAATATTCTTTATAAATAATTTATATCCGATGTGAGATAGAAATACTTTATGGGAATTATAATTTTATATAATTTTCTTTTTAAAAACATAAACAATTGTGAGGCAGTAATTCTGATGGAGACTAAGATTTGTAAAGAACTTGTGTGTGTTTCTGTGTCCTGAAATAAAGACACCTAGAAACAATTAAAAAGAATATTTTAAAAATAAGCTGGTACCAATGCATAGCCAGAGACTTACAAAGAAAAATAATACATAATCACTTGCAAGTTATATTTATATAATTATTTTTCCCCAGAGTAATCATTACTAACATATAATATTATACATTTGGCACTATATTTGCCATTGGTCCAGCAATTGGCAAAAAATGTTAGGCATATTTTATTATTTATAAAAAAATATTTAGACAGTGAGCTCACGTTGAATAACTAGGTCTACTGTATTCTGGAAACTCTTCAGCAGTAATACAGCTTTTTCATGTTCCATATGTACAAAACTGTGTCCATTTGCCTGCAACAGACAAAATAGAAAAAAAGTAAGTGTTTTAGAATTTAGTAACATGGAACATATAGTTTAAAGCTCAACCACTATTCCATGATGGTATAATTTTGAAAAGCAATGCCATAGAACAGTGTTTCTCTACTTTGATCACTTTAAGATGTGAGGACTTCAATTCCCAGAATTCTCCAGCCAGCATCATTATGACATCTGTACAAATTTTACAGCATGTCATTAAACAATCATCAACTTTATTTTGAGGTCTTTCCCATATTATGCCAATAGAGTTGTATTTTGTTTGTCTAAGTAATTTGTTCAGTTTAGAGAAGCCATTCCCAGCATTGTACTCTCCATGTCCTTTTAGAATTCCCATCATCATGCTCAGTAGCTCATACTGAATTCTCTGTAAAAATGTCAGATGAGGATGAGCAGCAAGGTAGCTATGCATGCATTGGTCTTGTTTAAAAAAAAGTAATTTGCTGCTCAGAATGCTCTGTGTGCAAGAGATTTACTTATTTACCCTTCCTTACTGACTTAGCAAAGACCCCCAGAGGAGCTTGAGGATGCCGAAACAATTTAAAAGTCTTAAACAGACTGGTCATGGACATCAACTGATTTGGAATATTTTCGGGATGTCCTGTGTAGCTCACAATACTTTGAAAAAAAAACAAAACCTTGCCTCATAATTGTGAACAACAGACCCAACTGCACAGTCTGGCATTTGCTTCATAGTACAAGCCATTAAGTACTCATCTCAGGGATTGTTATCTAGCAAACAAGTTCTTAAGCAAATTTTCTTTTGATTTTATATATGTATGTATATATCTATATCTATATCTATCTATCTATAGATAGATATATAGATATGTATATATATGTATATATGTTTTCTGAGGTTTTCGCGGGTGTTTGTATGTAGGTCTTTGGTTATTCGGGTTTTCTCCCACGTAAAAACCCATGTGTGTGTGTGTGTGTGTGTGTGTGTGTGTGTGTGTATATATATATATATATATATATATATATATATATACACACACACACACACACACATACATACACACATATCTAATATATATATACACATACAGTATCTACTATAAACAAACATATATAATATCTATATCTATATAACGTGTGTATCTAGCAGTTTTATACCCATTTACCGATTAGCACTTAGCAATAACACTTAGACTTATATACCACTTTGCGGTGCTTTACAGCCCTCTCTGAGTAGTTTACAGAATCAGCCTATGGCCCAAACAATCTGGGTCCTTATTTTACCAACCTCGGAAGGATGGAAGGCTGAGTCAACCTTGAGCAGGTGATAACTGAACTGCTGGACTACTGGTAGCCAGCAATCAGCAGAAGTAGCCTGCAGTAATGCAATTTAGCCACTGTGCCACCACGGCTCCTATTATCTATCATCTATCAATATCTATCTACTACTATCTAATCTATTTTATCAATAATCTCAAGTTCTTAAGAATAAAGCTGCCTTTAAGCACAACCCTAATTTTAATATAGTATACCATCTGGAGGGTATTAGAATACAGCAGAAGTCACTATCCTCATCATGTTTTTCCCACAGTTGTTTCCAAATTCCACCAAGAAAACAGAGGGAGGATCAACAGAACAATAAAAGTAGATAATGGTGTTGCATAAAACTGGAATTTCTCATTTAGTGAACTCCAACAGCCACTCTCCAAAACCATTCCTACCTGTTATTCCAGGCTAGAAAGATTTTGAATTCAGCACAAATTCTAAACCAACTGTGTCTTTATGGCTATTTTGGAACAGAATAAGCCAGGTCACAGAGTTAAATTTCTGAACCAATTGCTTACAACAGCTATGTCATATTCCAAATAGCCTTTATATCAGACCAACATTTCATATGCAACAAGCAGAAGCCTATCAAATGCTCAGTGTAAATGGAAAGAAGCAATCTGCGCCAAGACAAGTTTCCCCACCTCCAACTGTGTAGTCTGAATTAGTGAATATCTCTAATCAGGAAGAGGGATATTTTTGGGGAATGTGTGTTTAATATTCCTATTTAAACTACTGAGATGTCCTAAGGCTGTATCGTCTAGGACAACTATTTATGGAATATGGAATTTATTTTTGAAAGCATGACCAACCTTAATTTACTCCAGAATTTTCTAAGACTTTGGTTTTATTAGATTAGCATCTACATGCAAAGTGTAGCATTTTTATTTGAGCATTCTAACAGCATGCATGGTTGAAGCAGTCTGGTCATATTACTTGCATAATTGCTCATTTGAATGAAGAATGTGAGTTTCATGCTTTATGCTTGGGTCAATCTCAACTATTTCTAATAATCATTGCAATGAATACCATGTTTTGTAACTCAAGTTTTATTTTTTAATTTATTCTTATGCAGGTTGTAGTTCAGAATTCTAATTTATATATACAGTTTTTGCTCCTCAGCTTTGGTTTAGTAAGTTTGGGAACTAATAGCACAACCTAGGTGTAATTACTGTGCAAGGTGACTATTTTAGAGTTTTTAGTTTGTATGTTTCCAATTCTCCTTCACCTGTCCCACACATTCCATTTTTATACTCTCTTATGATTGAACAAAGCACTTTTTGTTTCCAAAACTGTGCATTCAAATTCTGGCTCAGAGGCAAACTATACTGTAGTTGGTCAGTTTGCTAGCATGACAATTTATAGTTTGTTCAAATCTATATGGAAAAGAGATAAATGCAAAGACAGGAGGAAATCAATAAATGCTAAAGCCATTTAAGAAAAAAAATGTTTTTCATTGGAATAATTCTTTTCTTTAGTTCAGGTCTGAGCACCATACTTGGATCAAAAAGCTTTTGTTTAAAAAATATCAAAGTGTAATCATATCTCAGGTATCTTGAGTGTGTTAAGACAATCCACTTAATTTCTGGTTAGTGGGATAGACAATATTATGTTGGCTTGCAAAGTAGATTTTAAAGATCCTAACATGAGCATGCTTGAAATAAAATTACATGTGGCAGTATAACTTTAGCATCAGCAGAGTGAGCTTCATATGGCAAGGATATAATTTGAGGCTGACACTTAAGCTTTCTCTTAGTCAGAGTGTTATATGAAAATTGTGGCTGCTCAAAGCCATAATATGAAATGAATAGGTTTGAATAATGGGATATTTTGCATGAATATGAAGTTGAAAGCTGATTGCTTAATGTGACAAGAGCAGAATATGAAGAAACAATGTATGAGACCTAATGCAATGATAAATAAGTGGTTCAACACTGAGCACAGAATATGACAAGAATACAACAATGTACCATAGAGTGTTTGATTTATTTTTGAATAAATGTATAAAAAGAGTTTTTGATTTGTTGAGGACATGTATGTGTGTGTACTTTGACTACAAGATAATACTTGTGGCAAAGAACCTAATATTTACAGCATTTGTTAGACTCTTTTGTAATGAGTATCGATATGAAATCAAGGTAGTCACGTCTGACATTGCCATTGGAGTAAATGATTGCAAATAATATGTGCATTGTGAAAAACTAAAGCAAATAGCTAATTTGTGTACCCCGGTAGAATGTTTACTAAAGTTGGGAGATGCTAGACATGTAAATGATGGTAAAAAAGGGTTTTATGTGCTTGTTGAGAGAAATGAATGTTTGTCAAAGGAAATAAATGTGTGGAAGTTAGTGTTGGATGGGAATGCGTTATTTCAGAACTTTATATAGAAAACAAGAAAAAAATATAGTTAAGTAAAACTAGGTGCTGAATCAATGTGGATTGAATATAGGAAAAGAATTATCAACATAAAAATATGTAGAGATAGTTGGATATATAAAGAGACTGAATTAGGATGTAATATATGAAGTAATAGTGATGTATTAAAAAAGAGGAAACTCAAGACTGTTATGGTTCAATGGAGTTGATGAGATTCTCAAAGAAAGACAAGACTTTTCTAAAGAACAAAAGTCAGTGTACTGACATGATAAAGCAGTGGTTCTCAACCTTTCTAATGCCGCGACCCCATAATACAGTTCCCCATGTTGTGGTGACCCCCAACCACTTATACATCACCGGGTGCCAGAGGCGTGGCCAAAGAAAAAGGGAAAAAAATGGTGGACAGCCTTGTTTGGCGACCCCCGTGAAATGGTCGTTCGACCCCAAATGGGGTCCCAACCCACAGGTTGAGAACCACTGTGATAAAGGCAAGGATGGTTTAAAGATTAAAATAGAACGCATGAGTAGTGTACGGTGAATGGTATTGACCAAAACTAGATTTAGCTGCTTACTGTTCTTTTTTTGCACTTTCCTTCCTTCCTTCCTTCCTTCCTTCCTTCCTTCCTTCCTTCCTTCCTTCCTTCCTTCCTTCCTTCCTTCCTCCCCTTCCTTCCTTTTTTATGTTTTCAACATAGTCTTTGAAATGGGCAATATGAAAAAATATTATTTATACAAAGGGCAAAATTTTAAAAGAAATATAACAATAAGGTCTTGGTTTCTTTTATTCAAATTCTCTTTTTTTGATGAGTTTCTTTGAGTTTGATGCAATATACAAGCTCTCATGCTCTCATAAAATCTATAATTATACACAGAAGCACCTGTCCTATTTCAATAAAAATGACTGTGATTCAGAGCCTTCTATACTCCTTATCGTTATTTATTTATATCAAATATATATGGCCAGCCATCTCACAAATGCAACAATGTAATAACAAAATATAATTATTATTAGATTACTATTTTTAATTGCACTGATTTATAGAGAAGGTTATCATAGCAAGTAATAATAGGTAATGAAACTTACTGGATCTAGAAAAAGCTAAGAGGATTGAATCTCATTAAGATTTATGTTAGGTGGGCAGCTATCAAGAAATTCCAGACTAATTGAGGAAATAAAATAGGTGGCAAATTACTTCTGTACTGTCAAGAAAAAAAATATGGACATGTCCATGTAATTACTAGAAATTTACTTTATAATGTGTATATTTAGATTTATAAATTTATAATCTATGGCTTTATACAATTTATAGAAA